TACCAGCATATGGGGAAGACGCAGCACAAATGTCCTGTATGCGGAAAGGTAAATTTTTTACCCTTTAAAATTTTTGTACGTATATTTAAAATAGTTATAGATATTCTGGCTTACACGATGTGAGTGTTTTGTTGTAACTTTTGTAGGCACTGGCGACGCGTCGCTGCATCACGCGGCACGTGAGGCGCGCACACCACGGCATCAAGGAGAACGAGAGGGACAAGATATGCCAGCAGTGCGGGAAGGCTTTCAGGGTAATTTGGAGACATTGACAATCAATAGAATCACCCATATGCTACTTTAAATTAATACCTCCGCTATTACTTTATTACTGCCTATACAAGAAGACTTCTGTACTTAGGAGGCCTATATATTGCCTATATGAGGGATTTTGCCATAGTTGCCACGCTTGCCATACAAGTTTTTGAAGTCAGAACTTCTTTAGAATCGTTTTGATTTGAAGCTCGATGAAATGAAAAAGCGCCTCTAAAAAAGATAAACGTATACATCTATAGGATTTAGCCTGCGAGAGAAAGAGATAGAATACAGTATACAGTGTTGTTGACATTAAAAATTTAGAGTCTGTATAACATGTAACGTAATATATGTTGAATAAAATGTAAAATAATTTTAAACTTGATAACAATATTATCTACGAGTATGTGTCTCTATATACATATAATAAATCTGTAGAAAATTTATTTGTTCACGATTGACGCAAAAACTACTGGATTAATTTTCATGCAAGTTGTAGTGTAGGCAGTAAATAACAGCGTATAACATATAGGCAACTGTTTATCCGCTTATGGAAGAGTAAAAAAGAAAGGTTATGTTTTTCTTTCTTTTGTAAGTTTATTGTCGTAATGTGTTAGTTGTGTTAGTCATAAGGAGGATTTAGCTATACGTATTACCGTATTTCAAATCTATAGAAAACTGTGTGTGTATGTGTGTGTGTGAAAATGAAACTTCGCGTAACTAACCAGAAAGGGCAGAATAACGTCAGCCAGGCCAGCTAGTAATAAATAAACCCTACAATTATCCTACTTGCGATAACTCTGCATTCGTCTCATTTTCTCTATAATTAGTTTTCTGAAGGGTTCGCTTCTACTGCGTGTGAACTGCGCACATTTTTTTTCTGTTTTTATTAAGCTGTTATCTGGAAGGTGATGCCACGGTAATTTTATCTATACAGTGTTGTAACTCGACCGTATCTTTGTAATAAATGCCTACAGCCGCGCGGTACGTAAACATGCGATAGGGCTGCCTGCCCCCAGCATTTTAATTACATTTGTCTACTTTGTGTTTCCATTTAGTTTTATGATTGTAAATATATATTTATAGAAACACATAAAATAGGTACTTTCTGAATTGAATAGGAAGTGTGAAAGAAAGGACTGCTTCGGTGGTTTGGTCATGTGGAAAGAATGAATGAGGAAAGAATGACAAAGAAAATTTATGTTGCAGAAGTGAATGGCAGAATCGGAAAGGGACGTCCTAGGCAAAAATTTATCGACCAAATTGGCGATAAAATCGATTGAAAACGGGCCAAATTAGGAGAACCAAACTGATTGAAAGAAATTATCGTGCCAAATGGAAGTCTGTAGTCTCTACCTACCCCTCTGGGTGACAGGCGTGAGTGTTTATGTTATGTTCAATAAAAATGCGTGTTGTTTTTTGATTGGTAGATTTAATTTTAAAAAAAACATGTTTATGTTTGAATAACATATCGGTGTTACAAATTTGCGACCGAAAAATATTTGCGCCTCGGCTGAGACGTACGAAATGCTTTTTTATTAAATTTTTAGGTATAAAAAATCTGCATTCTAATATAAAGCTTAATTAAAAATTGTTTTGGGAAACATGGACAAGGTGGAGAAAAGGAATATCTTTTACTTGATTATAGATACCTGCAGCTACTTTACAATTTATATGTTTGTTTTTAAATGATGTTCGGAATATTTCCTCCATTTCTTTTATATATTCCACAAAATCATCACTGCGGCACAGTCACGACTGTCTGCATGCCGAGCGCATGCCGAGATCGAGGCGCGTAGGCATAGCTCTCGCTTCGGCCGTTTGTATGAAGTTGAAATACTATATAGATAAAATTACCGTGGTGCTGCTATCCATCTCCTGTTCTGTTTCCTCTCTGACGCCTCTCATGACATACATGGGATGTTATGGGGTAGTAGGCACGTACACCGCCCCAACACGGTCGACATTTTTTGTAATAACTATGGTACGTAGGGGTAATATGATCATTCGGTTAATATGGTCATTTTCTCGTAACCTGCGACCTGTGGTAAACTGCGCTACTACCACTATAGTGTTGAATTTCTGTATAATATTATGTAGTAATTCTTCATTGGCCCGTAAATTCCACTGCTAAGATGTAGGCCTCTCCCGTTGTATGGAAAATTAGTTGTAGTCCTTACGCTTCGCAACTGGAAGTTGTCAGTGCCAGACATAGAATATTATAATACACAATAGAATGGCTGTCAACCTTACTTTGTAGGAGGATTGGCGTCGCCTGGAGCACACAAGCAATTACGTCGTATTATCAGTTATTACTACTACAAACACATTTTAGACTTTTGATTAATGTTTTAACACATAAATGTTTCTTTATTTTTGTTTCGACTTATGGTTGTATAATATGTCTCTTTTATTTAAATTCCAGTTCCCGCTGTTCTTTCGACACGTAATTATTGCACGATTTGCCATTTTTTTAAATAATTTGCATGCAGCGGCGCTTGACACTTGACACACGAAAATTGCAAACGATTGATTGTGTTGACATTTATACGTGTGAATTGACGTGTTAGTGCCATGTTAGTGGCCACACGGGCTCCACCCACTCCCCCGTTCCATTATGTATGTATTATAGTATTCTATATTGCCAGACGTGAACTTTTTGCGCTGGTTCCCATCGACGGTCTAGTTATTCTACATTTGATATGTGCGAGAATGTAAAGCCATCCATCGGGGGCAGTGAGATCTTTCCACCATTTTCAATGAGGACTTAATAATCTTACGCTCACCAGATGTTGGGACTGAGGTGATTTTATTTATGAAATTTAACCGGTCATATAGTGTCAACTCATTGAAATTTGCGTTCTAAATGAAAGTGTTTCAGTGTTTTCTGGTGTATGAATATACTATGCGTTCATTTCGAGTTTGCCATCGTCGACCGTTATGATGTCATAGCTGACGGTACCGTAGACAAAACTATTACTCCTAAGTGTTTTAATTGTAAGAAGTTCGATTTTGAATGTGTTGCTCCGTACAGAGAAATGGAAGGCAAGCAAATAGATTAAATGTATACTAATTAAACGTTGTAAAAAAAATGATTAGTTTTGCATCGGGATCGATTTTATTTGAGTCTCATCATCAAATGTATCCTTAATAATATCGTCTGTCTTCGTTTTCGTGAGCGTTTCAAATATACCCTGTATACATTTAATAATTTATTTAGTTAGTAGAGTGAATAGGACGAACGTGTCCGATAAAATAAAATATTTTTGTCATATATTTTAAATGAAAGATTTACGAAGGCGCGAACAAAAACTGGTAGGTAGTTATTTACGCATTAATTTGATATGAGTTATTTCATTGAAATCGTTTGTTTCTGTATCACTGCCATTACTCCATTCTGTGTTTACCACAAATTAACGAACGTAAAAAGTCTACAAAAACAATAAAATCAATTCCTCGGATACACGAGGGGACATTTTGTCCCGCAACATGATGCGGAACACTCAATCTGCGTGACGATGTAACGTTGCACAGTGACCCGCAACATGGCCCGCAACATTTTATGTGACGCGGGACATGTTGGTTGTGACCTCTCCGAAGCGAGTGCACGTGTCCCGCGTCAGTTTCGCCCCCATTTTGTTACCGGGCGCAACGTGCCTTGCAACATGTCAGTAGTCAGGGGAAACAAAACCGTCCTTATTCTTCTTGAGCTATACCAGTCATATTTTGTTGATGAATACTTCAGACCTAGATTATCGAAATAAAATAAAGAAGCGTTGGAGGATATTGCCAAGGCGCTTAAATTACCCAGAAATGAAATCGTGCTAAATGCTACCGGATTGCAACATATCACTGATATGCAGAAGAAACGTCGTTGGTGATAGCACGCAGCCTTGTGGAACACCAGCGTTATTGGGCTTAAAATCGGAGCATGCACTGTCTACTACGACCTTGATGCTCCGATCTGCAAGAAAACTGGTAATCCAATTACACAATTTCTCGGGTAGCCCATAGGAAGGAAGCTTCGTAAGAAGAGCTTTGTGCCAAACCTGATCGAATGCGTTCGCTATGTCCATACTAACTCTCAACGCCTCCCCCTTGGACTATACTGCTTCCGCCCATCTATGAATTAGGTAACCCAGACTATCACCAGATGAACAACCCCGATGGAAACCGTACTGGCGGTTACTAATTAGCTGGTGATCCTCAAGGTACCTCATGAGCTGGCAGTTTGTAATGGATTCCATTATTTTGGAGAACAAGGAGGTGATGTCCAAACGCATAAAAAAGGAGGTTATGGATCGGATCGGATACGACAGGAAGCAAGAATTCAACGAATCAAGAGAAAAATACTAACGTACATAATAAAACGGGGGGAGTGGGCGGAGCTCGTGTAACCAATAAAATGTCACTAATATACGAAAATTTCAATATTCACACGTATAAATGTCAACAGGAGATGAGTTTTGAAGTTACAATAGTTTCCAAATTTCGCATGCAAATTATTTAGAAAATGCTAAATTGCACGCCATTTACAAATAAATATGTATTAAAATCTGTCTGTCAACATATCGAATCGGGTTTGTAGTAGTGACAATACGACGTTATTGCTTGTATGTGTGCTCCCGGCGACGCCTGTCGTCATACAAAATAAGGCTGACAGTCATTCTATTGTGTATTATAGTATTCTATGGTTTCGTAGTATTGTATCCTGTTTGGCTATGGAAGGTCCGATCATTTGTGATAAAGTTTTAAAATCAGATGTTGACATTCGAGTTAAATTCACAAAAGATCCGTCAGACATTCGGAGATCACTTAAAACATTAAAGAAAGAATTCTTCTCGTTGTAGTAATAAATTCCGCATCCACCACCTCTTTCGCTTACCTTTCACTCCCGAAGTAAGTACTATGTACACAGCAATAATCACCACAACCTCTTCGAGCGACATTTCTATAAACACTGATAAGTGTGGCCTGCAAAATGTTTCGCAACATATGTCCCGAGACATTCCACGTGGTTGTTGAGACACATGTTGCGCAACTTGTCGCTCCTTTCACCCGACTTCTTTGTAATTCTAGTTTTTTTCTTTTTAAACATGACAGAACTTTAAGAAGTGATGTACGAAATATGGTGTTAAAGGTTATGATTTATTTCGAAAATGAGAAGAAAGACCGTTCTTATATAATACCTGTCGATCAAATTATGAAACGCACGGCAATGGCGACTGGTATATCAGAACGCACATCACGAAACATAAAACAAGATGTTAAAAAAGTAGCGTCAGCATCGTCGGAAGCTGGTAAAAAAAGAAATACCTACACTGCAAAAAAATCTAGCAATATATCAAATTTTTGCTGATGCTACCCTTCGAGTGACGTCATATCGCCAACGGCAAACTTAGCGCGAACGGGTAGTAGATATAATTCAGTGTTGCTATCAGTACTATAAGGCGTTGGCCACGCTAGAGCGACTACGGAGAGCGGAGGCGTGAAGACGCTGTGCCTTGCCGCTGTAGTATGCCACCTTGAGGCGGCTGCATTAAATGTGGTTTCTTCCCGCTATTTTTGCGCGGGCTAAAAATGACTAAAAGGGAGTAGTTTTTTGCAGATATAATACTTGCAGATTTAAAATAAAACAGGCATCAATTTGGTGAATGAATATCGTAGACTATATCATACGATGAAATACGTGTTGCAAATGTAATACCCACAAAAGTTTTGAGAAATACAAGGTGTAAGTGTAAACACCGTTGTCACTAAAACCATAAGTAGTTGGCTTTAATATAAAAATATTTATCCGAATTAAAAAAAAAACGCTATTTTCTTTCATAAAATTTAAAAAGTTTCTGTCCGACACCGTCCGTAAATTCATAGATGTGCCCGTGTGACGTAATCACTGAAAAGATCACCGTCCGCCCTAGCTACCTACACAACATTCCAATAAAAACACAATAGGTACACATGACCTGTGATGTAACTTTTACTTCATACTTTCATCCTGGCTTAGGACAGGCAAAAATTCCTACCCTTTAATTTTAAGGAAAAATTGAGATTTTACTTTAAAAAAAATGTTATTTTTCATTGAATTTACGTTCTATCTGATCTAATCATATTGCAGACCGAGACATTGTTTCGCTAATAAACGTCTCCGTATTTATGTTTGATATCGCGGAAAAATCAACACAATTTGATTAATACGCAAGACGCGCGAACACGCGCTACGTCCTCCCGTCCCTCCGGTTGCTGGCGGCCGCCTGACGCGCTCTTGTTCGTCTCGTATTGTTATTTTTCGCACTCGTCGCATAAGCAAGACGCGTCGCGCTAGCGTGGGCATGACACGACTAAGGGTGACGCTTGAATGAGGAAGCGTAACGGGAGGTAACGGCATTCATGAAATGAACACATAGTATAACAGTACTGTATTATTTTATTTTTTACACATTTTCTAATTCTACTACTTTTAGGAATGTTCCTAGTTTAGTTTATCCACTTCTAATCTAATTAATGAAAAATCTTACTAATTTATCAGAAAGAAATATTAATCTCTACAGTTTTCTAACAAATTAACTTCTCTGACAAAACTGCGTCAAATATTGCACCTCATTCCAAAGTGACGCCGCCCTGGTGGAGGAAAATTCGTCGATGCCTTATTGTTGACTCTTACGACACTCATCATACGGCATTTTATGTACTTTCATTTAATAATAATAATAATTGAATAGTATGCTCATTTAATAAAGTAATAATTTAATAAATTATTGATAATAGTAAATTTAAATTAATAATAATTGAATAACATACTCTAATGTACAGGACAAGAAAGGTCTAAGAGAACATGAGTTTATCCATACGGGTGAGCGTCCCCTATCCTGCGAAATTTGCGGCTGCACCTTCAGACAAAGCGCCTCCCTATATACACATAGAAAGAGGGTGCATAAGATCTATCCGAGGAAGATAAACGTTGAGTTGATGGAGAGTGAGGTCTCAAATGCCAATCAGGAAGTGAAAGAAAAGACTTGACCATGGATGATACCTACATAACACGGATAATTAATACCCTGAACGAAGTACGAACATATTTAGAAAAGGGCTGAAGTTCAAAGACGTAACGAAAATTCCTGTGCTAAAAGTGTTTAACACTATCACTGTTCGATTTGCAGACACATAGTAGCAATGACCCATATGTGGGTCACGGGACAGGAAAAGGGTTTAGATAAATTGAATTTGGTATATTAAAATAAAATATACTCACGTATTTATATATGTTTAAGTGTTTTATTTTTTTCATGTTCAAATTTATTTAGGCATAGTTTAGTCGTATGTTCATCATGTTTTTGTGTAACGGGTGACACAAGCACCACCTGATGGTAAGTGAATACTTTGGTCTAAGTCTATATACTTAATGGCTTTGCTTTGGTCTAGAGACTTATTGAATTATTCGGCCTATAGATCTAAAACACATCTATTAACAATAAAAATGCAGATGCATTGTCTCCTATGAGGTCTAAGATAGAATGCCTTGTTAACGAGTCTTTATACATAATACATAAACACTCACGCCTTTCACCCAGAGGGGTAGGCAGAGACTACAGACTTCCATTTAGCACGATCCTGACATACCTTTCTCGCCTCTTCCACATCCATATACATGCTCGTCGGTTAAGGGTACTCTTAATTTGGCCCATTTTTAGTATATCGCCAATTTGGTCGACAAACTTCCGTCTAGGACGTCCCTTTCCAAATCTTCCATTCACTTCTGCAACATATATTTGCTTTGTCAGTCTTTCCGCATTCATTCTTTCTACATGACCAAACCACCGAAGCATTCCTATCCTATTCTTAATCCTGGTCACCGCATCATCTTGCAAACCACACTCATCTTTTATCACACAGTTTCTCACCCTGTCACTCAGATTCAGCCCTAACATACTCCTTAGCGACCGCATTTCTACTGCATTTATTCTACTCTCGTGCTTCTTCTGCCACACCCAAGTTTCACTACTATACGTTAAAATAGGGATTAATACAGCACTGTGAATTGTCATACGTGCCTTTTTTGACACATTCTGACTTTTCACAATAGAGTGTAGAGCCCCATTTACTTTATTTCCTGCATTCACTCGTCGTTCAATATCCTTTATATCTCCCATCCCCAATAATCCCAAATATACGACTCATCCACTTGCTCAATTAACTTTCCTTCTATTCTTATTTCCGTTTTGCTTTCTTCTCTTTCAAAAACCATCACTTTCGTCTTTGCGTTCACTTTCATTCCCCTTTCTTTTATGACCTTTCAATGAACCATCATTTGCAACTCGGCCGCCGACGACGCAAGTATGACTTGATCATCGGCGTACAAAACGCATTTGATGGTTAACTCGCCCATTCTTAAACCCGCATTCTTCAACTTTCAAAATTTTCCAAACAGCTGTCCATAAATAGGTTGAACAGCCACGGGGAAGCTACACAGCCCTGTCTGACACCTTTATGGATGCCAAACCAGCACGAGTAGACCCCGTTGATTCTAACACAAGCACTCGAGTCTCTATACAGAGACTTTAATGCTTGTATCAAACCAGCGCTCAACCTAAATGCGTTTATCGTTTGCCATAACACATCCCTGTCCACTCTGTCATAATAAGCCTTTTCCAAGTCCATGAACGCACAAAAAACTTTTTGGTTTTTCGCCAAAAACTTGCGCAATCATGCGCATGGAAAAGACTTGATCTGTACATCCCATTCCCTTTCTAAATCCCGCTTGCACGCAAATTTTTTCATCAGTTTCTTTCATAACTCTTTCAATTAGTACCTTAGCATACAGTTTTCCCACAATGCTAAGAAGGCTGATACCACGGTAGTTTTTACAGTCCCGCTGTGACCTTTTTCCCTTATATATTGGGACCACGTCCACCAGTCTCCCGGTACCCGCTTTAGTTCCCAACATAAATTAAACAAGGTGTGCAGCAGGCCTGCCACCACGTCCTCTCCAGCCCTTAGCATTTCGAGTGAAACTCTATCATATCCGGCTGCCTTACCTACTTTCATGCTTTTCATTGCTTTCATTATTTCATCTATACTTATCTCCCTATCTCTTTAATCTTCTTTCGGAATTTCTATTTCATTTAGTTCACACTTCTCCTCACTCATAAATACGCTGTCAAAATATTCCTTCCATCTCTTTAGACTCAACACTTCATCATTCAGGATACAGCCATTCTCGTCTCGTATCGCATTCAATCTAGGCTGTTTTGAAAGTCCCCTGGTATTTCTTACGACTTTCCAGAACATTTTAATATTTGCCTGGAAGTTATCCGATATTCTTCTATCATTCTTATCCGTTCTTTCTTTCTTTATCCTTTCAACTAATTCTTTTACTCTCTTATTTAGACGTCTAAACTCTGCTTTCTTTCTTTCAATCTCATCATTCATACCGCCAGAATTACCAGCTTTGGTCGCTAGTAAATCTAGCCACGCTCTCTTCTTTGCTTCAACTTCCATACGTACCTCATCATCCCACCATAACGTATTGTCTTTCCTTTCATTTGTTCTCTTACTAACACCACATACTTCGGTAGCTGCATCCACTAAACCTTTCTTAACATTATGCCACACATTCTCCAAGTCTAACTCATTCACACACAACTCATCCAAATTACTTATATTTTCTCTCAGTCTGCATTTGTACTTGTACTTTCACATCTTCATCTTGTAACCTCTCAATTCTTATACGCTGTAACGCAGTGGTGGACACAGATGTCCTATGCCGCCAACGTCTGAATAAACCCCTAATTCGGCTTAAGACCAGGTAGTGGTCCGTCCCTACGTTGGACCCCCCCTACGGTAAACCCTTGTATCCACCACTGCGCTCCTCATTCTTTCATTCACAGTTATGAAATCTATCATGCTTCTATCATCACCTTTTTCCCAAGTATACATGTGAATCTTCTTATGACAAAAGAAAGTGTTCGTCACAAAAAGATTCCTTTCCACACATACGGTGAGGAGGCTTTCACCATTCTCATTAATACTTTCATCACCAAACGTTCCCAGTATCCTTTCATAGCCAAGCCTCCTCACCCCAACCATTGACAGCGCCATTAAAATCTAGCCACGTCCTAACAAAAAAAATAACAATATTTTCATTTTCCTTACATTTCATTAACACCATCCTTACCATCTCCCAAAACTGCTCTCGGATACAAGTGGGCTTAAACATGTCTGGAGCGTAGACCCCTAGAACAAACAACTTCTTTAGGCCCACTTTTATTCGTATCCATAGCAGTCTCGGGCTTACACATTCATACTCTTTCACACATTGACCCATTCTTTCTGAAAGGATGATACCGACTCCCTGGCATGCTCGCTCGGTCTCGTCTACACCGGACCAGTAAGCGGTATATATGCCATGTGTAGCGACATTCTTTCCCTTCCGCTTCGTCTCATTTACACATAACACATCTATTCCTCTATCATACATCATATCGCATACTTCATCCATCTTATCATTCATTGCTCCACATACATTCAGCGTAGCTAGACGGGCCTCCGCAATCCTCTTTTCGCCCCTCCGGGAGACAAAACATGACGGGTGGCTAACCTCGTCGCCGGTTTTCCTCCCGGAGATTCTTCGCACCCCTTCCCCTTAAAGGGGCCGGGAACTCAGGGCCATTTCTTTTCCTTTTTGCCTCATGGTGCGAAAACTAGGGTGTGGCATATTTTACGCCGCTACCACACGGCGAGTAGCCGAGTCTGTTCTTTCGGCTTTGTCGCTCTTTTAGCACCACCCGGGGGAAACGTGTAGGGTGGGCCTAGGATTAGGTGGTCGAAGCCTACGGACGCGAGCGACTTATCCCCCCTATCTTTATAGTCCAGTCAAATTAGTGATGCAAAGTTACAAAAATTCACATACAGCTGAAAATTGGTACGAATATTCGGAACACTATTATAAATGAAATGTAAAAAGTCCCCATCTATCCCACCCTTGAAAAAAAATTATTCAAGGTCGAAGTGCGCAAAAATGGGTTTTACGTCTTTTAGTCAAACGGTAAATTATAACATAAAATTTCGTCCATAAAATTGTAGATCATGCAATTATGTGACAGGGTGACAAACGAGCGCACGGCCTTACTGATTGTGGGTGGAAGCTGTGGCCCATAGACATCTGCATTAATCCTCGATTAAGAATCAAAACGCAGATGCATTGTCACCCCTGAGGATTAAAATAATGCCTCGTTTCCAGTAAAAAAGGGTCTCCGGATCTCTACACTCACCATACGAAACACAGCAGCATTAAGCTGCTATTTTATTGTTTTTAACAATTATTTTAAATGTAAAAGTAAAGTTACAGCCTATATAATTCCCACTGCTGGGCACAGGCCCCCGCTCATTTCTGAGAGGGCTTTAGGGCAAGGAATTGTGCGCCGCGCTACCCCAATGCGTGTTGGCGAACTTCAGATGTCTCCGAAATATATTTTTTTCTTATTTCTCTGACATGCAGGTTTCTTCACGATGTTTTCCTTCACCGCCGACCACATGGTAAATCAGCACCTAAAATTGCAATTAATAATTTCATTGGTGCGGCGGGGATCGAACCCGGTTTGCTTGCGTACTGTGAAATTTACAGCGAGCGCTAAGCACCTGAGCTACCACGGCTCTGGTAATTTTAAATGTCAAATTCGTAAATATATTACGGACTATAAATTAGTACTATTTTTTGATCTATTTTGACCGGACTATGCTCATCATACGAAACAGTTGTATTGTGCTATTACTTTACGTTTTCTGTGAAATCATAGTCATTGCTCAGTTGACTCGACACATTTGAGCGTGGTAGAACCAAAAAGTACCAGCTGGCTATTAATAGGTGTGTTGGTGCTGTCGTCGGGCCACAAGCGAAACGAACAAAGCCTAAATCACATTATCAAAGTTTCGAAATTACCTACTCCCGTATATAGAATAACTGATTGGACACCTTACCTGGTAGATCTCCTATTTCCCTTCCATACCTAAAAGTTAAATAAAACTCAATTTTAAAAAGAAAGTACATTGCTGGTGCACCATCCAGTTGCACTGACAGTGCATTGGTGGTGCCAGTAAACTGCCTCTCTAGTATATACACAGTAATCTATGAAACTGCCGTTGTACTCGCACCCAGGCGGTGCAATCTCCATACATAAGCGTTATAATTGGTTATAATTATATTGCGCCCTCCTTTCTGCCAAGGAGGCTCGCGTTCGTATACGGCTTAGAGATCTCTAGTCAGATCGTTAAGCCAGTTCCTAAAAGGTTGGGTTTAGTGGGTAAAAGTCACCACATAACCACGCAGCCGGCTGCGTGGTATGCTATGAGCATTCCCAACCTCCCTCCCCCGCTTTCCGGAGGGTTGCCCATATTTGCTTCGAGCGCAAGAAAAATATAATAATATGATGTCATTTCTAACTATCAGATGTCACTAGTAGCGTAATAATACGAATAAGTTGAGAATTCATACAATTCTTTGAACTTTACTACATAACATGGTCCTTTTAAACTTAGCACCATTTAATGTAAAAATATTGACCAATCGCAATCGCGTATTTGACAACTAAAAACAAATTTGTAAAATTGCAAATGGCGTGTCTTGTTGTTTGTACAACCCAGTTTATACAAAGGTACTCTGTGGTACAACCGTACAACGTATCGCGTGGTGTGTTGTGTTTTCGTTATATTGTGTGATTAGATGCTTTATCCGCTATTTCGTTGAGTTGAGCTACATCAAGTTCCTCCAAATAAGATTTACATCTTTCTTCACTATATAAATATATAAGCAATTTGAGATTGGACTCCATTAGTTAAGTGTTTTGTTTTAAGTTTTTATAAACTATTGAGAGTTGCTAATATGCCGCAAAACCGCTGTTGTGTACCTGGATGTGTTGAAAGTGGAAGTAAGTACTTATTTATATAAATGTAATTCTGTAACATAATAAAATTTTGTTTCTTAATCATGTAACGCTTTTATAGAGCAAATATGATGTTAAACAGAACCAAAACTACATGTTTTTGGTCTCAGTTATTTTGCACAACATTTGTAAATTCCTTTTCGAAACGTTCAAGTTTTTGTGGCAAATCAGTTCGTAGGTACTAATTGACAAAATTTTCTTTGTTAAAAATCATGTATACAAACAGAAAAGCTATTCGAAATTTGAAAATTATACGCACTCTTTATGTATCTGTATATTGCATAATACTAACTTTATCCATGTTAACATTTAATAAATTATATTTAAAAAATAAATACGAGAATATTGAAAGAGAAATACATACAATTATCTTTATTGAGTTGCAGTCAAAGACATTTTTTGCATTCAAAAATAATTAAAAATTCCATTACCAAGCTCAAAAGCTGTCTAAGTAGTTTTGGTTGGAATTTGACTGCTGGCAGGTTGCTGCTCTTGTAATCTTTAATTATTAGTTTGAAGCAAATTTTGATACATAAAGGTGGTGTAGTTTTGTGGAGTTAAATGTCTGCGCATGTGAGCTATTAGTGATGTGTGCCTCAAGTTATTATGTCTGCCAAGGCGCCTTCAGATATTATCTTCTCTGACTGTGCTGTATCAAGCTGCCTTAAAAAGATCCCAATAACTTAGGAATATGATGCATCAACATGTAAAGAAGTTTTTAAACAAATTGTTTTAAAAGATAATAATTTCTTATTACATGATACTTGCAAAAAAACAACTACACAAGTCCATAATCAAAGCAAAAAAAAGCACTTTTTAAAGTTTAAATTGCTACACCAGCGCTTATCAGCCCCGGATCTAGGGGGGGCAAGCCGGGGCCTATGCCCCGGGCGGCAAGTTCAGAGGGCGGCCAAATTCACACTTTACAGACGAATGGACAACTCGTCCTTTACTTGACTTTGAGCACAGAATAAATAATAGTACGAGTACAGAAATTTCACTCTTGTTTTACTGCGGCAATATCAACTCGACCGATACCCAGGGACACAGCACACGGACCATGTGATCGGGCGCGACGAGAGCGCGGAGTGAGACGCGCTCCACGAACATTATTAGTAGGCATAGTTCAAAATTCGGGCCCGCTCGCCCGGAGGAATCGCAGATCGCGGCAGCACGCGTCTGGTTACCGTGCGTGCGAAAGGGATGAAGCTATATTCGAAAACTCCCTCGTCGATCTCTCTCAGTGTTTTGTATTAAACATTTGTTTATGTTTATTATTTACTAAAATTTAGTACTTGTCGATCAACCGAAGGGAAAATACTGATTGTATTAGTGTCGCATCAATAAATCTATCACAGCTCATCGATCGCCTTTTTAGGTAAGTATTTTATCATAACTATCTTATGCTTTTTAACTTCCTATATTTATTTTTTAAATTCAATGTAATACGTGCAATCACTTACGTCGTCAATTCGTTATTTAAACTATTTCTTAAAATTTTTACGTCGTGTTTTGTTTATTACACGATGGCAGCCATCGGATGACTGAGAAGTAAAACAGCCTTTTTGTTCCAGCTATTAATTCAATACAATGCAATGCAGCAGTTTAAAACGAATAAGCAGCCGTTATTATATATTATATCGACGGCGCGTAGGTACCTATTAGTGATGGATTAATTAGCATTAGCATTCATTATTAGCATGCGAATGCTCATTTAGCATTTAACAAATGAAATGTAGTTGCGAAATTCTGTGAAGTGCGAAGTGAATTAATCGTTTCGTACTTCGTTCATAGTTCATACTACACGCGGCACTCAGCGAGACAGCGGCAGCATGCGCTCTCCGTCGCACCCACAGGAATACTAAATCTATCTGTTTCACGTGACCCTGACTTTTAGCAGGTGCATTTGATGCGAAGAATAAGGTTAGGCAATTATTATCTTATTATCTTTGATTTGCTCGTACTTAGGGTCGTATATTGTATGAATGCGTGTGATCGTTTAATTCGTTAAAGTTATTAGCAGGGTGATGCGAAGTATGGGATTGAGTAAATTATTACCTTATTATCTTTGGTTTGCTAGTATTTAAAGTCGTATATTGAATAAATGCGTGTGATTATTTAATAATAATTTGTGTGACACGTGGGTGGCGCGCGTCGTATTGTATAAAATGTTGAATAAATTTGTAAATAATGTACATTATATGTAAAAACTAAATCATGTAAATACGATCAAGTGAACTTATAAATACGCCAGTTTATAACATTTTACTGCTAGTTCTAAGCCTGGATAAAGTATGAATGAAGGTTTACAAAAACTTAAACATCAAAAGGTTTTAAATTAGTTAAATATCTTTAATTATAATAATATGATCATTCATTATCTTAATCACAACACAATGCAAGTGTACTAGTAGAAATAAAACGTTATCGGCGAGGAAACTAAACGCACGGTAGGACTCGACGTCCTCCTTCCTTCATAAGCCGAACGCGCTCTTAATTCGTATAATAACAAAATTCATATAATTATTTAGGTAATATCAATTATAGTTATATTAGCAAATAGCATAGCAATAGCAATTAGCACGCTAAGGCTCAAGAATTCGCATGCTAATGAAATTTATGCAAAATCGCATTAATTACCATTACTAGTACCTATAACTCGGGTGGTTGCCACGCGATCGCGCGCGCTCCGCGATATCATTACGCCGCTCGTAAATTGTAGTGTAACGCTCCAACAAACCAAAAAACCGACAAAAATCGGGGAACGACTCGCGAAACAGGCGCGAAGCCGCGAAGAATACGCGAAATGGTTCTACACTCACGGTTTGCGGGTGGTTCGCGGCTGTCGCGCGGAATGGCTACAAAACAAGTATTTTTCCGTCCGTCTGTCCGTTACAGCCTGTTATAGTTCACTTTTGAACATAGGTGCCTCCCCCATAGATTACCTCATAGAGGGGATATTTGCCATAGTTGCCACCCTTGGAAATTGATTATTTTTGTTTACAGGTTGTAATTATGAGCGCGCCAAGAAAAAAGCTATCGGGAGCGGAATATAGGAAAAGGGCTAAATATAAGGAGTTGCAGGGAAAACAATGTGCAGATAATATGAAAAATTGGCTTCTCAGAGGGGGTGACCCGTCAGTATCTGCTGCAACGTCCGAAGTTGATATTCAGTTAGAGGATGTTTCTCGCACTTTGCCCGATCAAACGGATCAAGATTTTTCACAGTCCGATTTCACAGTGCAAACTTCACCATCTTTATCGATGTGCGGAGAACAACTTGAAAAAACAAAGCCAGAATACGAAGGATCTAAATCCCCGCACTCGGATTCGGATGAACTGCAAAAAACTGGATTTGATTTGACTGACCCAGGCAATTGGCCAGGGGTGGAAAAAATGACCGACCAACAACGGTCTTTCTTTAGCAATCAGGCTGTATTATTAGCAGAAAATCACCCCGAAAACATTGAATTTAGATCTACTGAACGCAATGGCAGACATTTAACAGCTTCTATGTGGTACAGGACGTTGGCTAATTGCGAAAGAGTTAAAAGATCTTGGCTTATATATTCTAAGACAAAAAATGCAATATTTTGTGCGTGCTGCAAGATTTACCAGAAACCGTCTTTTACCGCCACATCTGCATTGTGTTCTACAGGATTTATTAATTGGAAAAAAGTTTCAGAGAGATTAACCGAACACGAAGCAAGTCAAATGCATAAAGAGTGTATGATCAAGTGGAAAACACGGGTACAACAAATGAAATCATGCCAGGGTATTGATCAAGACATTGAGAGAGTAATTCACTCAGAGAAAGAAAAATGGAGACAGATCCTGCGTATTGTTATGGATGCTGTATTGTATCTATCCATAAACTGCCTTTCTTTTCGCGGGTCCCACGAAACTCCTAGCGATCTCATCACACAGTGTCCTCGGCCTAGTCAAGGTAACTTCTTGAACTTAATTTCTCTGCTCGCCAAACATAATTCAACTCTTAAGTTTCAATTAGAACACTTAAAAAAAGGGACAAATATCATATTTATCAAAGACAATACAGAATGAAATAATTGACATAATGGCAAAAACAGTTAAAAATAGCATTTTAAATGACATCAAAGAAGCCAAATACTACACGATAATGTTCGACTGCACTCCAGATGTATCCCATACAGAACAAATGAGCCAGGTAATTCGATATGTAAAAAGAACTGGCGATGTGTGTGAAATAAAAGAAAGTTTCATTGATTTCATAGAAGTTGCTGGAAAGAAAGGAGAGGGCATTTGTCAACAGATTTTAGAAAAATTGGTAGCTGATGATTTAGATATTGGACAATGTCGTGGCCAATCTTATGATAATGGGTCCAATATGGCCGGCATCCATAAAGGAGTACAAGCCAGGATTGCAGAAAGGAATGAGCTGGCCGAATTCGTACCGTGCTTGGCTCACTCCCTAAATCTTGTAGGTGTTCATTCTGCCTCATCATGCCAGGAAGCTATTAACCTATTTGGACTGATTCAAAAAGTATATTGCTTTTTTGTTGGCTCCACTACTAGGTGGGACATTATGAAAAAATACGTTAAAACAAATTTAAAAGGAAGTAGTCAGACGAGATGGTCGGCGAAACATGTTGCTGTGAATGGCCTATTAAATAATTTGCCAGAAATAGCGGAAGCCTTAGAAGAAGTTAAGCAAGCTTCTCATGCTCCAGAAGCTAAGTACGAAGCAGGTCATCTCTTAACTGCTATAAAGAATTTTAAATTTATTCTTAATTTAACTATTTGGGCGAATATTCTCCGCGAAATCAATCGAGTGAATATAGAAATTCAGAAAGAAGATATTATCCTTGCCCGTTCCGTCGCACTAATGGATGGTTTGCTCAAAACTTTGCAAAAAATGAGACAAAATCCAATGGAATATTGGATAAAAGAGGCTGGAGAAGTTGCTGAAAAAAGTGGTGTTGACCCTATATTGCAAAACAAACGAATTCCGAAACGTAAAAAACATTTTGATGAGATGTGTGAAGACGAATTACAAACACTGCAACCTGTTCAACTACTTTCTAATGAAATAATGATGGTATTTGATCGAATCATATCAGAAATTAAAAAGAGGTTTGATTGTGCTACCATGCTGAATTTGAATTTTGCTTTTCTTAATGGTACTAATATTTTGAGAATGTCAATTGAAGAATTGCAAAAGTATGGAGCAGATTTGGCTCGAAAATACGAGCGAGATTTAAGCTCCGTTGAATTCTGCCAGGAACTCTACGTTTTAAAAGAGCAAGCTCCGCTTTTATTTGGTGATATAGAAAAGGCTAACAGTTTCTATCTCTTGCAACAGATCTATGCGCATGATTTGCAGGATGCTTTTCCTAATATTTGTATTGCCCTGCGAATTTACTCTACGCTTCCTACTACATCCGCAAGCTGTGAGCGAAGTTTTAGCAAACTAAAACTAATTAAAAGTTATTTGCGATCTTCTATGAGCCAGGAACGCTTATCAAGTCTTGCAATCTTAGCCATAGAAAATCAAATTGCCCACGAGTTAAATTATGACAAGGCCATAGATTTATTTGCTGAACAAAAAGCTCGAAGAGTAAAATTGTAATTTTAATTAACAAATGCAATAATATATTTGATTTTTATTTTTATTATACATATTTTTATTTTAAATCCTATCATGTGCTGTGTATAAAATACATATCCTACATGTTCATGTCTATATATCTGTAAATAAATAGACTTAACACAGAAAGAACAGCGATGGATGAATTATTTCCGGAAGGCCTATGTCCAAACGTCAATCAATTAGTGGACATCTGATAGCTGAAATTATAGACGATAAAGGTAAAAATAAAAATAAGTGTGCGAGGGCGGCATTTTTCAGTTTTTGCCCCGCCTAAAAAAAATTGAAGATCCGGGGCTGGCGCTTATATAAGTCTACTGCTGGATACAGAGTAGAATTAGTGATAAACTTACAAGTAGACTTTTTTTTATAACAGTTACAATTTAACCTTTTAAAATACACAATTAAAAACTCAGAAAGCTCATTATGTCCATGCATTCTTATCTCATTAAAACTTTTATTTGACAATGTATATCACATTTTTTTTGCAGATTCCCATTCAGTGCTGCATGGATTTCCAAATCCCGAGAATAATCCAGAATTATTCAGATCTTGGATTTATGCTGTGGGTGGTGACATTCTTGGTTTAGATAATCAGTATATCTACAAACTTCGGCGTGTATGTCATGCTCATTTTGAGCAAAAATATTGCTGCCGTTACAATAGGATTAGTAACATAGCTGTGCCAACAATTAATTTACCTGGTGAGATACTTCATTGTATTAAATAATTAAATATGTAATAATAATTAAATTATATTATGATAAAATATAAATTCTTGATCTAGCTTGGTAATGTAATGCTTTAATTGATTGATGAAACAATCAATTAAAGCATTACATTACAAACAAAAAATTAAATAATGTTTATAATATAATCTCAATTTGGTATTGAAATAACGATAATGATAATTTACTTTCATATTTGTTTGTATCCAGGACCACTTGTCATTCCAAAATTAAATGTTGTTGAACATCGACCATTGCAAGCTAAAGAGAATTTGTTGCTTGTAACTCCATCAAGCTCTAAAGGTAAATTATACTTTATCTATACAATACTAATAGGTCTATATTATGAGGATAAAATTATTCTTTTTACTTGTTATACATTCCAGCACATGAACTGTTCATATAAAAATTGAGTTACTACTAACTTTTATTATTTCAATAGTATGTTATCACATTTAATAAACAGACTACTTTCATTTCATTTGATAAAGAAAAATATATATTGTCACAAAGAGTTCATATATACTCCTTTTTTTATATTACTCCTTTCTAAAGGGCCGGCAACGCACCTGCAATTCCCCTGGTGTTGCGGTTGATCATGGGCGGCGGTAGTCACTTAACATCAGGTGAGCCACATGCTCGTTTGCCCCCTCTTCTATAAAAAAAATATACAAACATTCCATTGGTACATCATTTTATAGCAATAAAAATTCCATTGTTACAGATCCTGTATATTTTGCATCTGAGGTGGCTTCACAGCAAAGTATTCACCAAAATAAGGAAAATGTTATTTTAATTGTTGGTATGTAATATTATTAATTAATATGATAATACAAAGTATGGTAATATTTTGTAAATTTAGGAAATAATAATTGAAAATACTTAAGCTTCACCTTTTTTTATAGGTGCATATAAGGTTATTGGTGTAAGGAGACTGACCAAGCATGTAACTGCTACAAAGTCTGAGGAGGAACTACACAGAAAGATCAGAGCTTTCAAAATTAAACTAGCGAATGCCAGAATAAGGTTAAGAAACAAAATATTGAATTGAAATCTGCAAGAAAACTGTTCGCCAATCCAGAATTTCTTAAAATAATGGATAATTGGACTACCTCGGCAAAATTATTAACTTTAGTGCAATTTAGAGAGTATAAAAAAAAGAGTAAAGGTCGTAGATTTTCTACTGAGGAAAAAATCCTCGCACTGACAATGATGAAGCAGAGTCCCAAAGCTTATCGGGTTTTAAGAAAAATGTTTATTCTGCCATCACGTCAAATTCTCTTGAAAATGTTAAACAGGTGGTCATTAAGACCTGGGATAAACAGAAATATTTTTTCACAATTAAGGACGAGAGCTGAAAAAATGAAAGATGAACACAAATTGTGTGCTCTAGTGCTTGATGAAATGCAGTTACAGGTGAGTATTGCATACAATAGAAGAAAAGACTCAGTGAATGGTTTTGTAACAGATGGACAGGATGCTAAGAAAATTCTTGCTGATCATGCTCAGGTCTTCTTAATCCGGGGACTTATTAAAAATTTTAAGCAACCAATAGCCTCATTAAATAGAGTATACCTTCTCATCAGGTATGACAAAAGGTTGTGAATTAGCTAAGTAAATAAAATAAATTATTACTGAACTGCAGCAAGTTGGCTTTAAAGTTTTAGCTACAATCTGTGACCAAGGCACGAATAATAGGCAAGCAATCAAAATTCTCAAGGATAAGACAAGAAGGTCATATTTACACCAAGAAGAAACAGAAATGCCTCGAGCCATTACAAAATATCTCTATGAATGTAAGACAATAGAACTCAAATAGCAAAGAATTTATTGAAGCTATAACAATACACCTATTAGAAAATAAAGAATCTACTAAAGTTCGAGGTATGATCTGGAACACTAAAAAAGATATTTTACAGTTGAATGTCAAAGAAAATCAGGCTGAGAAATGTTTGAATCATAAAATTACAAAAAGAAATGTATTAAAATATATAGCTACAATTAATGATCCTTGTGGATTTTTAATACCTGTTATCTTACCAGAAAAGTTATTTCTGCAAGATTTATGGAGTAGAAAGATAAAATGGGATACGCAATTAGATGAAGGTCAAATAAAGAAGTGGTAAGAAATTGTTAGAAGCATGGATAAAGAGATCAAGGTGTTTAGTGTTTAGTAACCTTTGACTTAACTGGGGGCAGAAATAGACAGTGTCTTAAGACCCATTGATTTTTTATATTTAAATGAATCCTTACTAATCCCTTCGAATGAACCACATATGCCTCAAAAGGAGTCTGAAATCAAAGTGGTTTTGATAGGATGGCGAAGAGGACAAAGGTTGTTAGAAGAATTCAAAAAATGTTTAGTAACCAGTACCTGAGTATGTTAAGAGAAAGAACACAGCATATGAATAGGCAACCATGCATTGTGTCAAAGAAAAACCCTGAAATAGGGGACATAGTGCAGATTAAGGGAGACAATAACAACAGAAGTACATGGAAAACTGGTAAAATTGTAAACTTATATAGAAGTAAAGATGCAGAAGTTAGGGTAGCATCAGTTAGAGTCGGGGAAAAGGAATATAATAGGTATAGGCACATCTTTACCCTCTTGAAATTGACTGCAAGGAAGGTATGCATACATCAGACAGGTCTATTAACAAAGTAGTCACTGATAAAGAATTAGAAGGTAGTGACGATGGTATGGTAAAGGAAGCTCTGATGAAGAAAGAAAATAGAAGTAGTAGATCAGCCGCGGGAAAAGCTAGGAAATTTATATCAGTTTGGTCTAGAGACCTTTCTAAACAATCATAGTAATAAGAGTTCATTTATGATGACAGATTAAAATTTATAATTTAGCAATAAGAGATTTTTTGTTATTTGAATGATAATAAAATAATGTTATCAAATATCATACATGTTTCCTTTTGCTCTCGGGAGTGTCGCGAACGCGATTTAAATATGGGCAGAATTAATGTTGCTAAGAGGGCAACACTGGTGTCGCGAACGCGATTTAAATTTGGGCAGAATTAATGTTGCTAAGAGGGCAACACTGGTGTCGCGAACGCGATTTAAATATGGGCAGAATTAATGTTGCTAAGAGGGCAACACTGGTTGAAAGGGGGAAGTGACTTAAATGTTAGTGTCGAATTAAGTCAGTTGCACAGAACACATTTACCCCGACGGGGTCAGTTGAAAGTTGTGGTTCGAAGGAGAAACTACTCTCTAGCAAGAAAGAGTTGCTGTTGCGTCTTGGCAAGGAGATATTGGTAAGTGTTATATATTATAATATCTCACTGCATTTCATATTGTTGAAACGTTACCTAGATGTGGAGGATATGGGAGAGCTATAAGGGGTGGTTGGAGGGTCTTCAGAGACAAGAGGCCCCGACAAAGAGATATCTGGTAACAGATATTTACTAATACAGAATGTAAGGATATATACGTGTCCTTCGTGTGAATCAACCAACCAATTCGTGATGGAACGATAGGTCTTCACGACAAGCCTGACTGAGATAGCCTAATTAGGGACTATTGGTAAATCACAAATTTTGTAGCTATATCCTAAATAACTAAAAATTGCCTAACTTGGCAACGCTGGCGAATGCATGCTCTGTGTACTCTACACTACAAATTATTTTTTATCCAAATCATTCGGAATTCGATCGATATTCTACTCATTCACAATTCACACCAATCACAACTTAAAAAGCTTCCGTCACTGACCTTACTTGTATATATTAATAGAGGTCAGTGGGTTCCGTCAATTGTTTGTGATTGGTTGAATCGGAACATTCAAAAACAGAAGAATGACTCAGTGTTTCGGTTCAAACGAACAAATCATTCACGATTTACACATCTAATTCCTAGCCTTAACAGCTATAGATTTGGGTCGACATTTTTGCTCACCCATGTGACGAAGCAAAAGTTAGTTCTATGGAGTGTAGAAGTAAGGAGTACAGACTGTGTATTAAAAAGTGTCCATAGAAAACCTTTAAATAAGGGTGGCGCCATTATAGCTACGGGGTAAATTTTAAAGAACGCACCGAAAAATATTAGTGGGATAGACTACTTTTTCGAGGTTATATTTACTAAATAAAATTATTTTAGAGCTACTGATCAGTTTAGCAGCACACTTAAGCCGGCGACAACTGCTAAGTTCATTTCAGCTACTCCAGCGCTGTTGTGGAGAGTTTTGAGCTGTTATTTACTGCTTACAAATGACCACTTTTTCAACTATTCTACTATGGGAGTTGGTACTCCTTACTTCTACACTCCATAGTTAGTTGAATAATGTATAAATTTTATTCGCGGCATTGGTGAGAAATTGATCGTGCTCCGTAAAAATTTTAAATTTTGACAAAAAGAATCTTGAAAAATTGTGAAATTTTGTGTTATGCGTGGATGTGCAAGTTGTTTAGCATCTGATCGAAAAAAGTGACTTTTATTGAGACAACTTAGCGATCGCAGCGCCTCACTTATTTTGTCCATATTTCTGGGACACGATTTTGTACAGCGATCGTTCTCCTTTGGGACCCTGATGTGATTTTGTTTCTTGTACCTGTACATAGTCTTTTAGTTATAGCATGGAGGTTAGAGAATAGGAGAACGATCGCTACGTACTAATGCTTAGCCCGCTTGCCCCTGAAAATTTGTAAAATTTATAGCCGCGCAGCCTTCGATAAGTAGTGTCTGCGATATAATTTTTAATTTTTTGACGAAAAGAAACATTAAAAAAATTATAATACATATATTATATAAAATAGTAATAATAAATCAAAAATAATTAATAGTTTTTTTTAGTTATTGTAATACATACATACATACATAAACACTCACACCTGTCATCCAGAGGGGTAGGTAGAGACTACGGACTTCCATTTGGCACGATCCTGACATACCTCTTTCGCCTCCTTTACATCCATATATCTACGCATACATGCTCGTAATTTGCAAAATTAAATTTAATTGAAATGCATTGTAATAATTTATAATAATTAAAATTATTGAAACAACTTAGCGATCGCAGCGACTCACTTATTTTGTCCATATTTCTGGGACACTATTTTATACAGCGATCGTTCTCCTGTTCTCTAGCCTCCATGCATATGGAGGTTAGAGAACACTCTACACTCCATATGCATATGGAGTGTAGAGCTAAGGAGTACAGACTGTGTATTAAAAATTGTCCGTAGAAAACCGTTCCATAAGGGTGGCGTCACTATACACTTCACACCGTCGACAACTGCTAAGTTCATTTCATGTAACTGTTTCCTGTAGCTACTCCTGCGCTATTGCAGAGAGTTTTTGAACTGTTATTTATTGCTTACAGGTGGACACTTTTTCAACTATTCTATGAGAGATTGTTCTCCTTACTTCTTATGGAGTGTAGAGGTAAGGAGTACAGACTGTGTATTAAAAAGTGTCCGTAGAAAACCGTTAAATAAGGGTAGCGGCACTATAGCTACGGGGTAAATTTTAAAGAACGCGCCGAATATTAGTGGCATAGACGTATTTTTCGAGGTTATATTTACTAAATAAAATTATTTCAGATTTTAGAGTTACTGAGCAGTTTAGCAGCACCTTCAAACCGTCGACAACTGCTAAGTTCATTTTATGTAGCTGTTTCCTGTAGCTAATCCAGCGCTATTATAGAGTTTTTGTACTGTTATTTATTGCTTACAGATGATACTTTTTCAACTATTCTCCTATGAGAGATTGTTCTCCTCACCTCTACTCTATATTACTTCTATACTCCATACTCTATGCGTTATAGCATGGTTCGGGTCATGAAGATTAGAGGACAGGAGAACGATCGCCGTAGAAAAGTGTCCCAGAAATATGGACACCATAAGTGAGGCGCTGCGATCGCTAAGTTCGGTCAATAAAAGTCATTTTCAGTCTTTTTTTTGCGATATCTGATCGCTAAACACATGCACATCCACGCACAATAACATATTTCTCCATTTTTTTATGTTTCTTTTCGTCAAAAATTACGGAGCCTGAAAATTTTCTCACCAATGCCGCGGACAAAATTTGTACATTATTAAACTAACTTCATCTACTTGTACTCATAAACAGCTAACTTCGCAGTCACTACTCACCGACGTCAGCGCCGCTATAAATTCTACAATTTTCAAGGACATGCGGGCTATGCTTTAGTACGTAGTGATCGTTATCCTGTTCTCTAACCGTCATGGGTGACAGCTTACAGTTTAGCGCTTTGACTAGAGAAGAAAGAAAGGACATGACATAAAGATCGTTAGTTGTAGGAATGTAACGAAATATCGGCGTCTCTTTTTAGCGTATGAGTATATTCGTATGTAAAAAGGACAACAGTATTTTTATCATTATCGAATATGGCAATAATTTTTTCGCTGCGGCCTGGCACCATGTTTTGTCAGTCAATGACAACTATATCAGTTGTCAATGCGACTTTAGTGAGGTGTGTTACTTTCATATTATGTTTCTCTCGTGGAATTCTATTATTACGGAATTTCTTATTCTATTCCTCGGGACCTCTAATTCAGGATAAAAAGTATCCTATATTTAATTCAGATAACAAATTATTTGCGTGCCCAATTATTATATTCAAACTGGTCTGACACTTTCTTATATTATCTTATACAGTCTTATACTTTTGGCGTTATTGAGGAACAATCAAAATTTGTTCCTCAATCACGCCAAAAGTATAAGACTAGTTTGAATGTAATTTGGCAAACTTTTACAATTATTATGGTTTGAATGGTGTCAGTATTATGACTGAGCCTAATTTATTGTCTAACAAACAAACAAAAATTCTTAAATTAGTATTTCTTATATATAGATTATTATAATGTAATTGATAAAGTTACATTATAAAAACAAAACAAAAAAGACTGCTTAAAAGTAATAAACTGAAAATACAGGTATAACTTATAATATATTTCAGTAATCTCCTTTTAATTTCATTTATTTTGATACCCCTATCGATAGGTTGAGTAAAAAAAATTAAGGACTTACAATTTGGCGCTGAAAATCCGTCATATTGATTTAAAAAAAGCCTATCTTAGAACACACGGGTGTTTGAGACGAATCACACGAAATAATCTTTTTCTAAATAAGCGCCACATTACCGATATTAACTATAGTGCGCAGCACTACGCAAAGCCGCCATCTTTGTGCCAGATTCAGTTTAGGTATACACGTTTTTTTTCGTAGGTATGTCATGTCCTTTCTTTTTTCTCTAGTCAAAGGTTTGGCGTGTCTAGAGATGGAATAATTTTAAATCGATTTAAAAAAGGCGAGTATGATACACAAAACAATGCAAAAATTATCGACTAGCTGTCGATATAAAAATTAAAACGAATATATATTTCTTTATAAACCACAATGCATGTAAGTTAAAGTTCAATACAAATTATGACATAATATATACATAACAGCTGTTCCCGTGACTTCGCCTGCGTAGTATTTATTAGGCCCGCCGCTGATTGCAATTTTTTGTCACCGTGATTTATTATTACTGTCACCTGCTGTCACCCACGATGCGCTCACTGAATCTGTTTTTGGGTAACAAACCGCGTTCATTTTTGTAATGGACTTCAACGAGGTTGCCGTGATTTGTGCTCTTGAAATACGTAGAAGAAAAATGAAACGGAAAAAACGCTACTGGGTGCATCCTATATACACGGAAAGATTATTTAAAGGAAAATTCTACACTATATATTCTGAATTACGTCAGTATCCACCAAAGTTTTTTAATTATCTTCGTATGTATATAAACTCTTTTGATGAGTTGCTGGCTTTGCAAAGCTATTCCAGCAGAAGAAAGGTTAACGGTAACTTTGAGGTAAGTAACAAAAACTACATCAACTACTTAATTAAACAAAAAATCGTTATTAATCAGAGGCATAAAAAATTGCAATATCACAATCATCTACAGAGTAATTTGACACATATATTAATACTATTTAACAAATACTTTAAATAGCATACGTCTACTCCGAACGCGCGGCGCCGGCCGAGTGACAAAAAGTCACCAGTGAGCGGACTACCATAGTAATGCACGCAGTGACAGTCACGTCACTCCGGTGTTGCCTGCCGCTGCAACTATTTGTCACCGTATTATCACGTCACCATAATGAGCGCACTCAATATAGTTTTCATTGACTTCATTACTTCATGACACTTGACTAAGTGACAAAAAGTCACGTCGACAAAAAATTGCAATCAGTGGCGGGCCTTACAATTGGATTTCATGGTTTTTAATTTTTTTGCGCATATTTCTAATTCTTTTTCTAAAATGAATGTAGCCTGTGTTACTCCTTATGACATCAGCTATCTGCCAGTGACAGCTATAAGCCGGAACAAACAGACGGACATTTTAAAAATTGTTTTTGTAGTTTTGTTATAAATACCGTATATACTTTCATTTGCATTTAATTAAAAGCTATTATTTTGATATTACAAACAGACACTTCAATGTATAGATTATAATAAGTAAATTAAAACCATCTCCTATTTCATGTTGATTGCAACATTCATATTGACATTTAAACAAATAAAAAGCTGCCAGCATCTGTAATTTTCTCGCTATATATGTTTTTATTACATATATATTAGCTATTAGCCTTTCGCTCGTAGACAGAGAAACCTATAGACAAATTGACGCCTTCTTTCGCATTCGCACCCGAAAAAGATAGATTTATGTATACTTCTTGCATACAAATGAGACAGAGCGGTGTGATTGTTTGTCCCTTTCTCCGTGCCAGTTTTTTTGTTTAGCAAACTACACTTTGCTAAATAACTTTGACAGTTCGTAGCGATTTAAAGAGTTTACAAGTTGGTTTAAGTGAGAAAGAAAGTGTTTTGTGAGCTTAAGATTGGTGAATCTTGTTCAGTTCAGTTTTTTTATAGAAGAGGGGGCAAATGACCATGTAGCTCACCTGATGTTAAGTGACTACCACCGCCCACAACCACAACACCAGGGGAATCGCAGGTGCGTTGCCGGCCCTTTAGAAAGGAGTAAGCTCTTTTCTTGAAGGTCCCCAGGTCGTATCGGTCCGGAAAAAGCGCCGGCGGTAAACTATTCCACAGAGAGGTTGTACGTGGAAGAAAACTACTTTTGAAACGTACAGTGGTGGACCGTCAAGCATCCAGATGGTGTGGACGGTATCGGGACGTTAGTTAGTTCTTAGAACAATTAAAATTTTTATTCTAAATATGTTTAAAAGTCATAAAGATTATTGTATAACCTAAAACTTCGTTATCGTCCTTTCTCACTCGAGGCCACGCTAATCATTATAAGTTTATAGGTTTCTCTGTCTACGAATAAAAAGTACTATGTGAGTGTTTAAATCTTGAGTGCATTTGTGGAGATTTGGCGGGAGCTTGGCCATAGATGGATTGTCGCTCCCGTTTTATCGCTTTAATAATGATTTGAAGTGGATTTTAATTCGTAAAAGTGATGAGTTTTTGTGATTTAAGTATCCGCGCATCTGAACCATTAGAGAAAACGACAAAACAAGTGCTTTGATGTCGATATAAATTTCAAGTTAATTTGATTGCTTGGGCGGCTTATGAATTTGAGTGGCTGTCGTTACCAACTGTCCGCTAGGTTGAGCTGTAGCAAAATCTCCCCAGGGCTTCGCAATGTGACGCATCAGCATATTGTGATGAAAAAGAATATAAAATGAAGATTCCGAAAGAAATGATAGGCTTAGAAGGGCTAGAACCCTGAGCCGTAAAGCCAGTTAATAAAAAAACTAGTGCATTTGTATCGGGAAATGTATTCTGTGATTTGTGTATTGTATACCTATAGGGATTTGTGTTTACGCATTTGATTTGTATTTTGTAATTTTGTATGAATATGAAGTGAAAAGAAAGAAAGCAACATACTTAAAAGAAATGACTCAGTTCATTGAATTGAAGTCACCTAGTTTTAATTTAAGTGAAAAACAAAATGTTACCCCCAATTCACAATCAAAACTTTGTGTTTGTTGTCTATCAGGAGATGTGCTACTTATAAAACTCGATAGCTGTAAACATGCTGGTTTTTTATTTACTTTGTTTGAGAATAAGGTAGGTTTATTTTGAGGAATATGTAATAAATAATACCAAATATCTTGTTAATTCTGAGAATGAACACTATACTATAGTCATCTAATATAAAATTGGTGTCTTATTTCAAGATGGCTGACTGACTATAGTTGTTTTCAGTTACTCAAAATGTTTATGAACTATACATAAAATAGATCCAAAAAGAAAAAACAAAATAAACCTATATAATTATAAAACGTGGCATGTTATAGATGATAAATGTTGTATTGCTAGATATCAACCAAGATAAAAAATTCTGGATTGTTACGAACTGTAACTCATTTGTTTAGACACCTAATCATTTACAAAAAGTCAGCTTATTGTCTTTATTCACCCACAACACATATGTGATTAGGATTTGCTTACAATTTATTGCTGGAGATAGGAGAATTGTCAGTACTCACATTTATGATTTTGATAATTATTTTCTATTAAATAGGTTACTATAGTTCAGGTGTGGCTCCATAAATTGGAGAAAAAATATTTGCACTACTGTTTTTGTTTGAAAAAATAAGACATTGTAGTTGTGATATACACCTTAGTCCACTGATAATTAGTGAAACTTCTGGTTGTTTGTACACTGATATATAGAGCTAAAGATTTATTTTGTATCTAACCATATTCAGGTCTCTATATGTCCATTAGTCATAGCACTTAATTAATTTTTTTGCTAGTTTTCTCTCTCGTTTTTAGCAGACTTAAAAAAGGAAAAGTTTTCCAAATTGATTGAATAATTTTTTTTGTATGTATGTGTACAATATCTTATAAAATTTGAAGAAATGCTTCTTCTTCTAGAGCTGTGGTAGCTCAGATGGTTAATGCTCACTGTAAATATGACAGAACGCGAGTAACCTGGGTTCGATCCCTGTCGGCACCAATGAAATTGTTAATTACAATTTTATGTGCTGGTATACCACATGCTCGGCGGTGAAGAAAAATATCGTGAGGAAACCTGTATGTCTGAGGAATAAGAAAAAATTTTTTTCGAAGACGTGAAGTTCGCCAACACACATTGGGGCAGTGCACTTCCGGACACTTCGGACACTTCCTTGCCCTAAAACCCTCTCAGGAATGAGGGGAGGCCTGTGCCCAGCAGTGCGACGTATATAGGCTGTAACTTTTATTTTTTTTCTAACTTAGGCGTACATTACACGCTCATGCAGACATCAATCAATTCTATCAGTTATGATTGATAAAATACGGATGGTGGCTGATAGTCGTACATTACTCGTTCATGCCGGCGATAATAACTGCATTACACGGTAGGGTATTTGGCAATCACAACCTTGATTGATGTAAAACTGACAGTCTGCATCAGAGTGTATTGTACGCCTTAGGGGTGGAATTTAATTGGTACTAAAAGGGCCAAAAAATTAAATTTATAATAAAAAGTAAGAGGCCAATTGAAACAGCTAAAAATAATAAAACACTATCACATACTGAAGTTAGGTTTTATTACTTGTTTATACTATAAGGAGCTTCCGAATGTGAAATTTTTGTATAATTTTTAGTTGGTATAAATTGGCTTTCACTTTTTATTTCAACTTAATTTTATTTCTTTGCTATGTATTTTACATTGGTACAATCCTTTTGACAACCAAATAGCGAGCTATTTGTCGTTCTATTGGCGGTGGACAAAAAGTTTGCTTGTATTTCGGGTTTATTAATTTTCAGAGTATCCACAATCCTTAATATTTTCCTAAGCAGCTTCTAAGTGACTGCGTAATACAATCATTATCTTTTAATTAAATGAGTCTTCTATGTTCATTAAAAATGAAGTGACATTGTGATTTGGTCTGGAACACATTATTAGTATAAAATTGTTAGTAACAATTAAATTAAACCTGACTATTATGGATTTTGTTTTAATTTTACTTACTATAAATAATAGATGTTTTAAGCCTTTAGTAGTACCTATAATCTGATTGTGTATACCTTAAAACTTGTAAATGAGATTGTACAGCCATGGCATGTTGCCAGTGATGACACATGTATCAAAGATGTGGTCCTTCACTGCTGGCCGTAAGGGGAAGCTCAGTCATTCAGCGAGCTATGTAGAGGGCTATGCTCTGGAGTTTCTCTGCATGATAGACTTGGAATTGAGAATTTCCACAGTAGAACAATAGTGACCGGCACAGCACAATGGATAGTAAGCTGAAGTGGCAGTAGGCTAGTCATATAGCTCGAGGAACGGACAACCCATGGGGAAGAAAGGTAATTCAGTGGTAGCCTTGTGCCGGTAAGGGAAGTGTGTGGCCGCCCTCCACTAAATAGAATGATATGGTGAGACATTGAATCATGAAAACAGGTAGTCAATGAATGCAGATGGCTCAAGACCATGCTTTGTGACATTCTTTGGAGGAAGCCAATATTCAGCAGTGGACTTATGATGGGCTGTTATGATGATGATGATGGTCCGGGTGACTGGCAAAGTTTCAGGATACTACTAGTATTCTAAAACTTTAGAGTTCTCTCATCTTTTAATTATAAATAGGCTATATGTGATACATCATATATAAATATTTTTTTATATTTCTAAATTTTCTTTTAGGTGGATCTTACAAGTGCATTTGTTTGCTACCTGTGTCACAATATTATAAGAAAAATAGACAGTTTTAAATGCCAGGTTGAAGAAAGTTGTGCTGTTTTAAGAGGAAATGTAAGTCATGTTTTTTTTAGATATTTAAGTACAGTTGTGGGCTAAGAGAATCTACTACCCCATATCATCCCTTGGGTGTGGTAAGAGGCAATACAGGGCAATGAAACTGGAGATGAGTAGCAGCATTTTCCTGATACATATCAACTATGGCATATTTACCTTCCAACTTTAATGAGGAAATCTATATATATGGCCTTTGTTTCTGTAACATTTGATAGGCTGTAACAATGATAATGAAATACGGAATTAGATGAATTGTCTTTTTAACCGTCTTAAATAAAGGTAGGAGGTACTCAATTCAACTGTATTTTTTTATTGAAATAATACTAGTTTTTACGAAATTTATCGCGTACATTTAACTTTTTAAATACCCGACGTTTCGAACACTTTACAGCACTCATGGTAACGGGCGGGACTGAGATGTTCAACGTTCATAGTTAACCGCGGTTACCATAGATTAAAATTTAACTTTTGTTCCGATCTATGCAGTATGAACTTATGGTATCTTGAAGTCTTGCAGTTGTATGCTTGGGTTGGGATTTAATTTTATTTATTATAGGATCCCAAGCAGATGGTAGCACCCAGCCATCTTCTCTATTGAAATTAGGATGTTTTTTGATTTCAATAGCCTCGCGAATCATCCTTGGAAGGAATCGGTTTTCTTTAGCGAGGATTTGCGGTCTATCAAATCTGATGTAGTGACGGGGGCGATCCTGTACGTGTTCACGGACTGCAGACTTCCCGGAGCGTCGATAGCTGATGTGAAGAATCAAGACTTCAAGATACCATAAGTTCATACTACATAGATCGGAACAAAAGTTAAATTTTAATCTATGGTAACCGCGGTTAACTATGACATATGGACGTTGAACATCTCAGTCCCGCCCGTGACCATGAGTGCTGTAATGCGTTCGAAACGTCGGGTATTTAAAAAGTTAAATATACGCTATAAATTCCGTAAAAACTAGTATTATTTCAATGTGTAGTGTTCGCGTAAATATAAGAAATCATTATGTATTTTTTTATTTGAATGCTGTGCTTCTCATGTGGTCACATATAAAATTGATAAAGATCTGACCAGTAGTTTTTGAGTTATCATTAATAATGCAGATTAAATTGATTTTGACTACAATGAAGATGTTCTCATTTTGTTTGTATTGAAGTTGGTTGTACAAAACTTTACAACTTGTTATGTACAGATTTGAAGATTAACCATTGGGTTAATTAATAAACCAATTTATTTAAACCTTATTATGTTTTCACAATTGAAGTTGTATACAGTATTTTTAAGTACCTATCATAAACAAAGAAAGCTTTAGGTAAGCATGTAAAGATTAGTATTAATATAAAATAATTTAGATATACAAACTAAATTAAGGGATAAAATGCAAAAACCCAAATCAACACAATCCATCTTTGATTAATCAGTTATAAAACAAACATATATAAATATAAGGCATCAATTACTCTCAATCCTGTAGTGTTAAAATTGGTTTATCCTCCTGTATGGTGAACTGCGGGTCAAGTTGCACAGATTTCTCGAAACAAATAGTATAATTACATATAATATAGAATTTTTTTAAGGTAACTGTAGGTATCTATTAATACCTTGGGTCTTAATGAAGTAAAATTGATTGAATACTTTATTTTCAGGTCAATCAACCAAAAACTTGGAAATATAAATTGAAAAATTCTAAAACAGAGATAAATTCCACAATCAACTGTCAACCAATAGAATTTGAGTATAAGGAAAATTTTGTCTCATCGGATACTGTTTTAGAGCATGTCATTACGGAAATAAAAGTGGAACATGACAGTGACTTCGACTGTGACGCTGATCTGCCTTTGGCCCAAATAAAAGAGGTAAAAGAGCTCAGGAATACGAACGAAAATCGAAATAAGAAGCAGAAGGTTAAAGTGAAGAAAAGATCCTTGATACACGAGAAATATGAGGGAAAGATTAAAACTATTACAATAAGTTGGGAGGAAATGATGGAGGAACGGAAGAGGGATGCTCTGAGGAAATCTTACTTAAACTTGCCGTTTAAATGCGAGAATTGTATAGTTGGTTTTGACCATGAAAAGACCCTGAAAGTGCATATTGAACAAAGACATAGTGATGTTAGTATAGTTTTTTTTTTAAAGTAAAGATAAAAGTCCTGCAGGCATAAGGTCGCTGCATACAGGATGAAATCAGCATGTGCACGAGGCGGAGACTAAACGTGGTTGTATGTTAACACGGACAGGAGTTTAATACATACACACGGTGACATTGACTCAAAACTAATGTGTCAGTGTTGTGAAAAATAGATTTTTCATTTGAAAAATTGGCATTAATTGCTATTGCTTTAGATGTTGAAGAAGCTACAACAGTCAAGAGTAAAAAAAGATTTTCTGTACATCCTATGTGGCAGAAAAGAGAACAAGAAGGTGAACAGGACTTGGCACGCGCCGGGCGGGACGGGGTAAACGTCGTCGCCGACGATATTTTTCCCGTCCCGTTCATGCCACGTTTCGTCCGTGCATTACATACATTTTCTATGAAACTATATTTTCGAAATTTCACGTCCCACTCCGTCCGGCATAAAACCCGTTACGTATGCAGCGACCTTTACTCTTAAAAAATGTGGTTTTAAATTCGATTTGTTTTTCGATTCAAACTGACATTATCGTTTGTTGATTTCACAAAAAGATGCATCTTTTTATGATTAAATAAAGCCTAGATAGTCACTATCATAAAAAGATGCATCTTTTTGTGAAATCAACAAACGATAATGTACAATACAGAAAAAGATGCATCTTTTTGTGAAATCAACAAACGATAATGTCTTCCAAGAGTGCTTGGCATTTCTCTCTATCTCATTGTTAAGTTTTATCATGGACAGACAGACAAAAAATTTAAAAACATATTCATGTCTTAATAGCATGCCAAGAACCCCCTGAGATTCAGAAGCCAGCTATTATATATTACAGATGGACATGTCAATTTTATTTATATGTATACAAATCAGAATGCAGATTTCCTTTAAAACATTTTTTAATTTTTGTAATGTACACATAATTTTCAGAAGAAAGGAGCTTTTGTATGTGATGTGTGCAAATCAGTATTAAGCACAGAAACATCTTACAAGGAACACAGGAAACGGCATCTGAGACGGTAAGTTTTTGACTAAAGAATCAAGTTTTGTGCAATACCTGAGACATTGGGTCCTAAGTATTAAATATCACCGGCTTTAATATAATATTTGTCTTGGAATGGTAACTAATAAAAATCATCATCATCATCATCATCATTACAGCCCTTCACATGTCCACTGCTGAACATAGGCCTCTCCCAAGTAATGCCACAAAGCACGTTCCTGAGCCACCTACATCCATTGACTTCCTGCATGTCTTACCAAGTCATCACTCCATCTAGTGGGGGGTCGTCCTACACTTTACTTGCCGGTACGAGGCTGCCACTCGAGAACCTTTCTTCCCCATCGGTTATTGGTTCATCGAGCTATGTGGCCGGCCCATTGCCACTTCAGCTTACTAATCCGTTGGGCTATGTCGGTCACCCTGGTTCTACTGCAGATATGCTCATTTCTGAGTGTGTCACTCAGAAAAACTCCGAGCATAGCCCTCTCGAAAATAATAGGCTGTATTATCAACAACTGGTTTTAGTCTAGTGTTGGATGTAACCTTTCTTAAGATTATACTAAGCTAAGCTCTGTGGTGATGGCATTGGGTGTCGTAAAAGGCGACTATGAAATTTTTTTTGAAATTTTTGTGGCAGGGTGGCAAATGAGCACATAATTCACCTGATGTTAAGTGGATAATGTGCAAATAGACACCTTCATCTATTCTCTATTAAAGACCAAGTACTAAGATATATTGCCTCGTCATTGTCAGTGGTCTCCCGTTCCTTATACTCACAAGACAATATATAGCATCATTAAGCTGCTTTTTCACGTTAGTATTCTTTAATATCGTGGTTCTTCCTCGGTTGAATAGACCCATTTGTGCTGCAACTGTAATATAACTGCAGTATGGCTCCGAATGCCATATGATTTATAAGATGGTACTGGTCTTCTCTCTAGGAGTCTTGCTACGTTTTGAACCACCCTCTTATCTATTTCTGCTGCAGTATCTTAGTTGTGTTCTGGTTTTAAGTGCTGAGAGAACCAACCTAATTGCAGGTTGAGGTGTTTTTTGAAGTGAACCTTCTTTGCTCGAGAGTAAAATTTTAAGGCCTCATGAGATATCGTCAGTAAAAACAGTCATGCTCATGACGATTGCATCACGCGTGCGTCAGATAAAGAGATAAAATATTATTATTTCCTCTTTGTGTGATAGTCGTCGTTCAGGATGCGTGCGCATGGTATTTTAGAAAGTGACGATGCACGTGGTATGCTGTCAGTGGTAAAGTGTAAGGGATGCTAAACATTAAATCATATTTTTGTCCGAGTGTAATATTTAAAGTTTTTTGGTGATTAAAAGTTTTATATAAGTATTACCAGTGTTGAAACAGCTAGAATAGTTTACTTTAGTTATTTCCATAGCATTATGTCATATAGTATTTTGCTATGGGGACACGCGACTGACACTGAAATTATATTTATTTTACAGAAGAGGGCCATTAGAGCAACATATAATTTAAAACCAAAAGATTCACTGAGACAAAAATTTAAGGAAATTAATATATTAACTCTGGCCTCTCAATACATTTATGAAAATGTAATGTACGTACACAAAAATAAAAGTAGTTTTGCGAAAATAAGTGATATTCATTCTGTAAATACTAGGAGCAGACACAAGCTACTACGACACAGTACCAGTTACTCGACTCCACCGAGTCAGTAATTCATTCTTGGGGCGATGTATACGCTTTTACAACAAAATCCCAGAAAATATACAAAATTTGTCATACACAAAGTTCAAAAAAGGGTTATTATAATATTAAGGAATTTATGGATGATAATAACCCCTGGGAAGGGTGATCGCTACCAAGCTATTTTTAATTTGTCTTGTGTTGTTGATTGTAAACACGATTGTAAGCTATTATTAAAAAAAAATAGTCCCGCTGGGTTTCTTGCTGGTTCTTCCCAGGACAGAGGTTTTTTTGCGAACCAGTGGTAAATTAAAAAGTGACTTTCAATAAGTATTTTTATAATCTACATTGAATAAAAAAAGTTTCTATTTCTATTTAATAATAAGTTTACATTACATTACATCTGTACATACGCAGTTTGTTATTATTATATAATGAGGTTGAGGGAAGACACAAGTTTGCGCGTTTACCTAAAAAGGACCCCTACGTTCTCCTCAGTTTCAAGGCTGACCGCTAAGGAGGCGAAACACGTGTCGTATTATCGTCGATGGTGTGCCTTACCTGGAATAGTGGTGTTGGAAGTAGTGGTGCCGGGAGTAGTGGTGTTGGGAGTAGTGGTGCTGGGACTAGTAGTGACGGAATTAGTGCACGCAATTGCGGGAGGGCGGGAGGTGCTCTTCAATCCAGGTAAGACACATCATTGTATTTAGTTAGCGGAAGGTTGCAAATTAATTAATATTTTTATTAAGATGATGTTTTATTTTCCTCTGTCAACTCTTATGACACTAACGGGATGATATCTAGGTTTGAATCCCGGATCGGGACCAAAATCAATTATTTGGTTTCTCTTTCAAGAAATTCTCATTAGCAGCTTAGTCAGGAAATTGGGGGTGTTTCATCCCCGTGCTTCGGAAAGCACGTTAAGCCGTAGACACTTTTATATGAGAGTATGCGGCTCATCTGATGGTAAGTGATTACCGTCCATCAACAACAGAAACACCCAAGGTCATGCAGATGCATTGTCGGCCTTAAAAAAGCAGGCTCTTGAAGGTCCCGGTATAGTCCGATAAATCGCTGGTGGTAGTCAATTTCACAAGGAAGTTCGCCTGATCTCTCATCGGTAGTGTCGGATTGCAGTCCCATCGGACTATTCGAGTGAGGGAATAGAGAGTGCACCTGTGCTTGTGCATACACTCGTGCACTACCAGGTCCTACACAGATGACTAATCTTGGTTGAGATTGGCTGCCGTTGCGTGAAATTCGGTCTGGAGGACATTGTTAGATAGACTGCTAACTTGTTACTCAAATTTTTTTTAATGGAGTCGCAAACGAGCACACAGCCCACCTGATGGTAAGTGGTTGCTGTGGCCCATAGACATCTACATCTATCCTCGATTACAAATCAAAATGCAGATGCGTTGTCACCCGTGAGGACCAAGATGGAATGCCTCGTTTCCAGTAAAAAGGGTCTCCGGTTCTCTACACTCACCATACGAAGCAGCGTTAAACTGTTATTTTATGTTGGTATTCTATGAGAGCGTGGTCCTATCCCGGTCGAGCCGACCCATTCGTGCTGCAACTATATTACTAATATAACTGCAGCAAGGCTCTAACACGTATATAATATACTGAATTAAAAAAAATGTTTGTCTACCTTTCAGATACGAGTGTGAGGTGTGCGGAAAACGAAACAACAATGTTTATTCCGTAGTGAAACACTACAAGGAAGAGCATGGCACCATCAACACTTTGTTCACTTGCAAGGATTGCGGCTTCACTACCGAGTGGGTGACTGTCAAGATTTCTTTTTTTTTATATGATAGGTTGACAAACTAGCACACAGTCCACCTGATGGTAAGTGGTTGCTGCGGCCAATAGACATCTACATCTATCCTCGATTACAAATCACAATGCAAATGCGTTGTCACCCAACAAGACCAAGGTATACCACTCGTACAAATACCACAAGTGGTAAGGGGAATATTAAAATGTATAGCAGAATATTCTTTTTAAAAAAAATAAAATAAAATAAAAATAATGCCTCGTTTCCAGTAAAAAGGGTCTCGGGTTCTCTACACTCAACATACGAAACACAGCAATATTGTGTTTTTGATTTATAAGAATTTAATTGAACTATTGGAAAAAAATTCTTAATTGTACAACATTTACACTAATAGGTTTAACTTGTGGGAATTAAAGATATTTTTGTTACAGATCTCACCGAGGCTACCGTTACCATCGCGATAAGCACAAGGGAAAAGTGGAATGCACAGAGTGTGGTAACACTTTTGTACATGCAACAGGACTTCGGGTGCATATGTTGTAAGTAATAATTGATCTGGGGGCACGGCAGTGCCCCTGCCAAGTCGAGCAAAAAAGCGGCACGGCCGTACCATACTTTTCTCGAAGCAGTTCAGGCCATTTTCGACCCCCCTATAACTTCGTTGTGGATAAGAATTTTCAGTTACCGAGTAGACATTGTATAAACGTGGTATATTTCATTTCATTCAATTTGAACCAGTATTTTAAGAAGTATAACTAGTCAAAGTATCTTAATTTTGTCACTCACTGGCTGACCGATCATCAAAACTCTAAGGCACATTTAGCAGACATAGAAGCTTCAACTTTAAACTACAATTAGTTTTTATTGTATAAATCAAGAAAAAAATCTTAAATGTTTTAAATATATAAATTGACTAGGCAATCGCACTTAGCAATCTAATTTAATATAATGTACACAATGTCTCACAAGTAATGTATTACTTGTGAGACATAGACATACACTGTGTTTGATGCGATGGCCAAGTCAATCTATATATTTAAAACATAAAAGATTTTTAACATTGATATGGTCACAACAAGATGTTGTTATGTTAGCTAATTACGTAGTAACTTAAAACAGAAGGACACTTAATAGGGACTGAATAAATTAACCGACTTGGTATTACATGGATCTCACAACTTTTTACGATAGAAGACCTCTGAGTTGCGAGACTTGTTTTTTTTTACAAGTTATGTTTTTGATGGCATTAGTTTATTTAAAATGTCTATTGATTTGATAACATTAAAATGTGAAAGTCACCCCAGTATGAAACAAGGCATTTGGATTTTGAATAAAGTTAATTTATACGGATTCTATCTCGTTTGATTTACTTATATATATATATATATATATACTGGGTGGAGATTAGGTTATCACATTTTATAGCGCAACAATAAATGCAAGTTGATATACGTCTGTTGAAATAATAAAATAAACAATAATTTAAAAAATAAAAAGTGCATTTTTGAAACAAAATAAATAGCTTAAAATATTACACGAAATAAATCATGCTGGATAATATGAGTTTATTGACCTGAAGTGACTGTAAAAACGGCAACGGCGCAGCGATACCTACACTTGTCCGTACATAAGGAATTAGGCACGCGTAGGGCGATGCTAATGCGATATTATCAACAAACCATAAACTTTATGATATTGTTTTATCCAAATAATTACTCTAATCTTGTAATCACTAAAGTTTAATAACTACATCAAATCAAATTTAATAATTAAATGTTGTTTAATGCTAGAGCCGCGTTTTGGTGGCATTCTCCGTAAATCAAAATCATGTCGGTTTATTCCGACGACGTGAAATTGATACGAGGTGTCTCAAAACTTAGAAAAAGTTAAAACGTTAAAAAAGTAAATGTCACACCACTTCACTAAGTTATTAAATATGATTTTTATCTAGCGTATTATTAACGTGTCCTATCACAAACAAAAAAAAAAATACAAAACAATAGAAGTAAGCGTCCAATTTCGCGTCTATTATTATCCTATTAACGTAAACAGATCGAGAAACTTATCAGCGCGCAGTCCCTTTGTTTTTAATTTGGCGCATAGGAATTAAGTCTTAAATCGTTTGACTTAAGTACATTTTTTGCTTGATCCTTTTTCTTTATTTGAGTTATTCGGTTTGGCAACGTTTGAACTATAATTCGCCTTTGCCGGTCATGGGTCTTTGACCTTTTAGTATTCGTCAGGTGATAAATATATGCATTTACATGATGTTGTTTAATATTAAATCGAAAAAAATTATTACTGGGCATAGGATGTTAATTGTTACATTTTTTTTAATTATGTATGTTTAAAAAACGTTATTTAGGATACTTCTTTTCATTTAATGTGATATCTTCATCGCCACTCTGTATATATATATATATATATATAGAGAGAGAGAGAGGGAGATCTGTTTACGGTAAATGTTGATCAGACGCGACTTCACGCGAGCACTTTGTTGATCCGAAAACGCATGTTGATCCGGCGCCTTTTGTTAATCCAATATGCATTTCTGGTAACTAATGTGGCTCCGACCGGATCAACATCTGCACTCACGAAACTGTTTGCTAGCGTTTGCTGAAGTTGATCCGATATACAAATCCACCTTGCGATGGTTACGGGAAATGTTGATCCGATTTAAATGAGCCAATCAGAGCACAACAAACGATAAGATAAACGATCGGATTAGCTGAAAGCAGCCGCGACGTTGCTGTTTCGTATCTTTAGCGGTACAAGCTACAGATTAAATGCGTGTTCAATACAATAATGCATTCAGGGTGCTGTTGGGTCTGCCTCGTTATTGTAATGCGTCGAGTATGTTCGTGGATGCGCGTGTGGATTGCTTCTACACCACCATGCGTAATCGATCCACATCTCTGGTGCACAGGGTGCGGGCCAGTTCCAATAGTATCTTGAGGGCATTTTCTGACAGGTTTGCGGTAAGTACCTGAACCATTGTCATATGGTGCACGTGCTGACTAATCGGGCCTGTCTTAGATATACTTTTAAAATTAGGTAAATAGTTTTAAGTTTTACTAACACTAGTTTTAAGATTTGTATTATTACTAACATCTATGATCCTTGTGGTGGAAATAAACGACTTTTTTTTAACGTATAACTCAACAACTCAAGAACGCCTCTTCTTGTAGCGGAAGTGGTGGCAACAGCGACATAAGGTTTGTGTGTATATGTGTGTGTGTGTGTGTGTGTGTGTGTGTGTGTGTGTGTGTGTTTGTGTGTGAATGCGTGTGCGCATGTGTGCATGTGTGCGTTTGTGCACTGTTGTGTTTGTGTGTGTGCATGTATGTGCGGCAGTGTGCGTGTGTGAGTGTGTGTATGCGTTTGTGCGTGTGCGCATGTGAGCATGTTTGCGCGCGTGCGCTAACGAACACACACATACACTCACACGCACGCACACGCACAAGCTCATACACACACACGCACGCACACGCAAAGGCTCATACACACACACACACACACACACACACACACACACACACACACACACACACATACACACACACACATACACACACACACACACACACACACACACACACACACAAACACACAATCACACACACAAACACACAATCACACACACAAACACACAATCACACACACACACACACACACACACACACAAACACACACATCTACACACACACACACACACACACACACACACACACACACACACACATACAAGCACACCTACACACACACACACACACACACACACACACACACAAGCACAAGCACACCTACACACACACACACACACACACACACACACACAAGCACAAGTACAAGCACATCTACAAGCACACACACACACCTACACACACACACACACACACACACACACACACACACAAGCACAAGCACACCTACACACACACACACACACACACACACACACACACACACACACACACACACACACAAGCACACCCAGACACACAAGCACACCTACACACGCGCGCTCGCACACACACACACACGCATGCGCACACACAAATCGCACACACACGCATAAAAACACACACACACACACACACACACGCAAACACGCGCGCGCACTAAACGTCACCCCCCACCCATACACACACACACACACACACACACACACACACATACTCGAGTGATAAATTAATTTGTAATAAAGTACTATCCATCATCTTCTAATTGATCCATGACAAATGAACAAAATAACACAAATTCACTTACACTATAACAAAAACTCGAACAAACGTCTTTCCACAATAAAACCTGCCAAAGTTTGATCCACAAACTCAGCAGATAACGCATTTTCTTACTTTATTACTATGTATAACGAAGTAGTCTACTGGATTCTCTGTCACACAAAGAACGCGACGTTGCCGCTTGGTGTTCGAGTACCAATTCGTCAATTATGGCTCCGGATCCACTTAGTCTAAGTAAATGTCGCATATAAATTAAATATACTCTGGATCTAAAAAATCATATTCAGCATGATTTTTTCGGCCGTTGATAGATCAACAAATGTTGATCAAATCGCTGACGAGTATATTGAAAACCTGTTAGTGCAGATCCACCGACGTCACACGCGCATCTAGGATGGATCAAAGGATATCAGTTTGTGCGACGAGGAGCTGAGCAAACACGTCAAATAGGTGGATCAACAATTGTTCTAACTTCTCACTGGATCAATATTTACCGTGAAAGGATGATTATATATATATATAGTATTATATATGGCTTGAATAACGTGTATAAACATTACATTTTTTTTATAGGATAGGGTGACAAACGAGCACACAGTCCACCTGATGGTAAGTGGTTGCTGCGACCCATAGACATCTACATCTATCTTCCATTACAAATCAAAATGCAGATGCGTTGTCACCCGTGAGGACTGAGATGGAATGCCTCATTTCCAGTAAAAAGGGTCTCCGGTTCTCTACACTCACCATACGAAATACAGCAGCATTAAGCTACTATTTCACGCCGGTATTCTGTGAGAGCGTGGTCCTTCCCCGGTCGAGCCGACCCATTCGTGCTACAACTATACTACTAATATAATTGCAGCATGGCTCTACCACGTTTAAATTTGAAATTGTAATCCCTGTGCTTCAAAATGATACCATTATTTCAACCCAGTACTTATTAATCAGGTTTGAATGCAACAAAAGTGAAGTTAATAAAAGCAAATATTGGGCTGATCATAATTAAAATAGAACGGAAAATGTATGTTAAATACTCAAAATTTAATGTCACAATACTCAGTGTTGCCTACCTTAGCTTTGATATCGTTACGAAGGCGGTTTCTTATCGACCTGCTTTTTAATTAGTTGCTGAAGCCTTTCCAACTTCTCTTCCAGCATCTTCAGCACTGCGATGCTTGTAGACATCAGATTTCTGGCTTGTATGAGCTCTTCCCATAGATGCTCAACGGGATTGACATCAGGACTTAGTGTTGACCAGTCCATGGTCCGAATGCCAACTTCATCCATGAACTGACGAGTGGCTTGTGCTGTATGACACTGGTCATTGTAATGCGTTAAAAAAATCTCTCTGCATTGACCCCTTCATGAGGCAAGACATGGTCCAGAAAAAAAAACATGGTCCACATATCATGCAGCAGTCAGAACGCTTGCATTTTTTACGTGGTAGAGCCATACTGCAGCTATTATGGTTGTAGCATAAGTGGGTCGGCTCGACCGGGGAAGGACCACGCTTTCACAGAATATCAACGTAAAATAGCAGCTTAATGCTGCTGTGTTTCGTATGGTGAGTGTAAGAATGTAAGAACCGGAGACCCGTTTTACTGGATCGAGGCATTCCATCTTAGTCCTCCAGGGTGACAACGTATGTGCGTTTTGATTCTTAATCGAGGTTAAATGTAGATGTCTATGAGCCACAGTGTCCACTTACCATCAAATGGACTGTGTGCTCGTTAGTCACCGATAAGGCCGTGTTGCAATAAAGCAACAACTCGAGCGGCTTCTTCTAATGTTGTATGCATAGGGGTTGTAAATCGGCGATCGTTACTTGCGTAGGTGTGTTCAGGTCAACGTCTGATAAGCGACTGATAAATGCACTGCTTGCAACAGTAATATAGGGAGGTGCAACGCGACCGTGCGGCTACAGCGGCGTCCTCATTAGGCTCATAGTGAGCGGCTGACTGTCTCTTGTTCGCCTCCCTATATATTTTAAATGTAGTGCCCATAAAGCGCGTACTGTACGCTCAAAGTGCGTAACGTGCGTTTCGCTTGCCGACTCATTCAGTGAGCGGCAGAGTCGCAGTGAACGATGCTCGCGATCTGCGGCTTAGTTAGCTCACTATGCCGCGCCGCGTTACGCGATCAGTTAGAGTTGAACTAATTTAATGCTTGCAAAACAGCTATCACTTTGAGAATATCCATGGCGTCACAACTCAACCACTCCTCTCAGTACTACCGTACCTTCCCTCCCTAGAGTTCGCAAGCGCTTCGTTGCTAATAAGCTACAGTTGCTCATTCGATCCGATGTTCGCCTCTCACTCGAACCGGTACGCCGCTCAGAGGCGAGGGAAACCATAGAATACTATAATACATACATAATAGAACGGGGGAGCGGGCGGAGCACGCGTAGCCACTAAAATGTCACTAACACGCCAATTCACACCTATAAATGTCAACACGAGATGTGTTTTGACATTACAATCGTTTCCAAATTTCGCATGCAAATTATTTAGAAAATGCCAAATTGCACCCTATTTACAAATAAATATGTATTAAAATTTAAACGATTTTTTAAATGATGATCTTGAACATTAATCAAAAGTCTAAAATGTGTAAATTTACTCAGTCTGTCAGCACAGCGAATCGGGTTTGGCGACGCCACGCCTCGTACAAAATAAAGTTGACAGCCATTCTATTGTGTATTATAGTATTCTATTGGCCTACCGCACAAAGTGCGTTTTCGATGCTTACACGGATGTAACGATATTAAAAAAAAAACTGAACCAATTTAAATTACAGTGGTGTTATTTTAAAGCCTAAGGATCAAGTTTTAATAATGATAGATATTTAATATGTAATATAATGTATATATTATCAAGTTATTTTTCGAAAAAAGTTACACTTTGTACATTTTGTTGGGGTGAGTTGATTCAGTTGCTCATGAGTAAAAATTTAAATAGTTAGATGCGCCCTTACCATAGTATGACCACTCAGAAATATGTCCATTCTCTAATGAGTGAGCTCACTCATTCGCAATCAGTGCTCATTTGTGCGACAGAAAAAGTAGTATACACGATTTCTGTAAGATGATAAGAGATGACACTATTGCATTAGTGTGCGCGCGTCAGCGTCTTGCAAACGAACACATCCAAAAATAATGCCACAGTTTTCAAGGTGAAGGCGCATCTAACTATTTAAATCTTTGCTCACGAGTGTATATTATACTATCGTAAGTGGTAGAGTCACACTGCAGCTATACCGTGGTAGCACAAATAGGTCGGCTTGACTGGGCAAGGATTACACTCTCACAGAATACCAGTTTAAAATAGTAGCTTGCTGCTGTGTTTCATATGTTGAGTGTAAAGAACCGGAAACCATTTTTATTGGAAACGAAACATTCAATCCCACTACTCAGGGGGGGGGGGACAATGCACATCTGCATTTTGATTCTTAATCGAGGATAGACGTAGATGTTTTGCACCGCATCTACTTATCATCAGTTGAACTGTGTGCTCATTTTCCACTCTTAATAGTTTATAACCATTCATATTGTAAAATTTATTTAAAAAAAAAAAAAGTCCCGCTGGGATTCTTGCTAGTTTTCGACCCAGGGCAGAGTTTTTTTCCAAACCAATGGTAAAGTAAAAACTTTCGTTCAATTAGAATTACATGTGATCTATATTGATAAAAAAATATTCTATTCTTATAATATATATTAAAAAAAAAACTTTTCCAGTACGGTCCACGGCCAATCGGATCGCGTATACTCGTGCGAAGAATGCGGCAAACGATACCGATCCAAGTCAAGTCTCGCCACACACCGCTCGGTGCACAACACGAGCGCGTCGCCGGAGACCTTCTGCGCCCTCTGCAACACGCAGTTTCGGTCGCCGTTGGGCCTTAAACACCACTTGAAGACCCACTCCAAGCACATACGGGATTCCGATAAGAGGTTAGTTTTTGTCATTATGTTATTATCATTATTAATATTCCAGTAAGACTGTCTTGTTGGTCTAGTAGTGGTCAGCGCGAACGCTTATCATTTTTTAAAATTCTTTTATACTACTTCTTTTAATGCAATACTTTTCTTTCTTTTGACTTTTATATCTGATTTATTATTTCCATATATATTTTTTATTTTTTTATTTTTTTTTTTCATTTTTTTATATAATTTTTTTTTAAATAATTTAAAAGAATATTAGCAATGCTATAAACATCACTAATATTCCCCTTAACCACTCGTGGTACGCTTAATTTGCTTGTGTTACGACTGGTTCACGCCACTCACGCCAGTAGTCGAATGGCGGTTTCGAACCCACGACCACGTTTTTTTGTTTTATTATATACAATTAGGTTCCTTATAAGTTTTGCTTACTGCTATTATAGTTTTATACATTTCTACCTCTCTTTTTAATCTACTAATCTTCGTGTAGCTTTTTGCTAATAATTTACTAATTATTATTATTTTTTAATTGAAATTTCATTATTCATTACTATATCTACTTACTAATACATTACTTATGACTTTATCTAGATATTATACTATAAAGGTCGTAGTATCAAATTTTTATATCATTATTTAAGAAGGTTTATCTCATATATTATATATATAAGGTAATTGCATCTAATAAGGGCCGGGTTTTTGGAAATCCTTATAAATCAATTTAGGGAAGTGTGTTAATTTGTAAGACATCATGATCAAGTAAATTGTTTTTATTTGAAGAGAAAATATTGTACAAAAACAAAGCACCAATGGCCAATTACTTACAAAAAAAGTTCTTTAAAAGCTTGTCTATGGTCCTTATTGGGCACTAGGGCTCTAAATAAGGTCCATAATTGAACTGCAAGGTTTTAGGCGTTATATACCAGAAAAATTACATCTTTAGAAATCAGTGGCTTTAAACTACTATTAAGTTCGTAGCTTTCGAATAATGAAACGGAAATTTATATAAATTAGTGTCGTGGCCCTTATAAAGTCTTAGGAAATGTATACGAGTTATAATTAATCTATTTTCTAGTTATAATTGAAACAAATTGTAGTTTTATGCTGATTTTTATTTACTCTAGTAAAGAAAATCACAAAATGTTACTAATCAGTCATTTATTCAGTCTTAGTCATTGTACCTTATTATGTATTACACTTCTGTAATCATAGTCTGGACCTTATTAAGTGTTTGAAAATAACAAACATGGCAACCATTGCAGCTAAAGATTAAAAGATAAATATGCACATATATTCACAGTGTGTATTTACTTATCCTTATTATATATTTTTCTGTTTAAAATGTAATCAAAACAAGCGTATATAAATTAAAAAATGGCAACTTTTCACCTAATAATTTGTTCAACAAATAAATAAAAACTAAATTAAACTTGTGGGAGAACATATTATAACAAATATAAAAATCAAAGTAATTAATAACTTCAAACAAATAATGTAAAGCTCAATAATAAAGCAAAAAGTGATAGTTTGACCACACGGTACTTAATAATAATCCTTAATAAGTAATTATAATTAATAATAAAAATAAAAAACTAAGTTAACATCCATTGCGAATGTTACACACAATCAGGACAAAAAAATATATCTAAATCATCTTTGGTAAGACCTACGCATTCTTCGTGATACCACAAGTTACATGTTCTGCATTGCCGCATTGCTAGCACTGTATCCATGTTACAAGCTGGGCAATACCAGCTTTCTTTATCATTTATTACTTTTTTGTTTTTTTTACCTTGTACCGAATTTTCCATTGTTTTATTTTTTTGTTTAGTTTTTGTTTTATCTGGTTTAGTCTTTAGAATTTTAGATGATTTTTCTCTTGCCTTTCCTTTTTGACCTTTAATATTATTGTTGTAATTTTTGGTCTGTTTGGCAGAGTTTTTTTGCATTATTGCCTGTCTTGTCTTTAAATAAATCTTTAGTTATTCTCTGCCCAACGTAATTTAATGCTTTTCGTCTTGGCTTAGCCTTCGTTTCAGCATAATTGGGAGTTGGAAGAAATTCTTTAAAACTTGACTCTTGAATATCAGATCGTTTTTTATTATTTTTAAGTTCTGATAGTGGCATGTCATCATCAAATGAATCAAGCTGGTTCTTTTTCGGTGTAAAATATGTTTGGAGAGGGTTATTATTTTCTTCATCAGATGCGGAAGAAGAGGTATATATTCTAACACGTTTTGCTGAATAGTTTTGCATCATTGAAAGATTGTATTCAATGTCGGATATATCTGATGGAGAAGACAAGAGTGTAGCTGGACGTTGAACATGTTGAACTTGTAACCCTGAAGGACCAGGTACAGGTGTATTGTATCGAATAGGGACATGTATATCATCCGAGTCTAAAGATTCTATAGAAGAGCTATAGTCAACTAATTTCTGGAAATTAACATCTTTGTTTTGGAATTGCTTTATTGTTGCTACTGAATTTTGAGCTGTAGAGCCATCTTCTTCAAAAAATGTAATATCTGAGTCAAAGGTACGATTTAAAAGTTTAACAGATTCAGGAGAATTTGGTACAGTTACAGAATTTTCCTTAGTAGAGAGTTGCGCAGCAGTTAATTCAGTGAGCATGGATGGCGCAAAGGCTTCTTCGGGGATTGAACTCGGATCCCAGGGGTACAAACCAGTTGCCCCAAATCCGTTAATAATATTGCCGTGGGTCATGCATTTTGCCCATACTCTTGTAAAGATTTTATTAAAACGTGCTTTGGTGAGTTTCTTCTGTGGATTCTGGTAAATAAAAAGTAGTACCTCTTCATCCCAAAAATGCTCAAATGACTTATTAACTGATTTATCGAGCGGTTGGAGCTCGTGGGTTGTATTCGATGGCAAACAGTACAGAACTATGTCATGCTTTTCTGCAACATCGACAATTTTATAGTCCAGATGGGATGACGCGCCATCGAAAATCAACAAACATTTTCCTGGGAGTTTGTATTTGGCCAAATGCTCAATAAACTCAACGAAGAGCTCGGTTGTCATAGAACCTTTTGGTGCCATTTTCACCAAAGAACCAGCTGGTAAATTTTCCAAAAATTCTTCTCGCAGTCTTTTTCCTTTAAAAACAATCATTGGTGGAATGGCGTTTCCAGTAGCATTCACGCAAGGTACTATAGTGACATTTTCGGCATGTTCATGTATATATATATATATATATATATATATATATATATATATATATATATCGATCTTCTTTTATTCAGTGAATATTATTTTATTTTTGTCATTATATTTATTATTTTATTTTATTATTATATTTATAACAAAAACAAAAATATAGAACCATAATATACTGCAATCGTATGTAAAATATTATTCAAATTACATGACGTTACAATTTTACCGCACTGCTTCGTAAGTGTTATTCAGCATGTTGTGAAACTCTGTTATTGGCTAAATGTATATAGTAATACATATTTTTAAGTATGTTTGTTAAAAATATGTCATTGAGTTTCCTAATAACATAAAAAAAAGTCTATTTTAAAACTTCGACAACAACAACACAACAAGTGGACCTTTTTAGGCACTTAGATATGTACTGAGAAAACTAAAACAAAATCGAGATAAAAAAGCAATAATTTTGATAACTTACCCTGTCAATCCACGTTCTGAAAGTATTTTACACTACTATTGCAGAATTATTACAAAACGACCGGGTTTTATAACTATAACAACGCAAAATTGAGTCACAATATTTTATAAATTGAGTCACGTCGACCGCCCCTGGGGTTAAACACAGAGCCACTGACAAAATGGTCACCGCGAAAACAATAAACGTCGGTGCGCTTTTGTGATTGGTTACTGGGAAGGGGCCGCGTGGTATCCGTTTTGTTTTAAGTATTAAGTAGGAGAAGTTTCAAAAGATGGACCTTATTTGGAACCGGCCCTTTTTAGGCGAACCTACCTTACATGTACATACACACATATATATATATATATACATACACATACAATATATATATATATATATATATATATATATATATATATATATATATATATATATATATATATATATATATATATGTATGTGTTAAAATATTTATATATTATATATATTTAGATATATTTAGATATATATATTTAGATATTTTAAAAATAGAAATTAGGATATTTTAATGTGTAAAATATATATGTAATAATCATCTGTTTACCAGCCTTGATTCCTTGATATATTTTTTCCTTAATTTGCTAACACTACACGAAACCATGGAAGCCCTCAAAGGATCACTGTCAGCTATGTCAGAACTCTTCAATACTCGTATGAATGAGTTTCAGCAGGACTTAAATAAGACTAGTCCAACTGTGGCCTCAAATATATCTGTACTCTCAACGGAGTTCGCAACATTCCGAAAGTTTATCTTGTCCGCTCTTGAAACTGTTCAAAAACAGGTTGAATTTCTTGGGAGAGAGATCGACCGCTTGGAGATAAGACGGCGTCGTAAGATTCTGCTGCTTCATGGGATTCCCGAGGACAAGTCCGAGGATACATCTTCAATGGCTTCTAACCTAATTATGGACAAGCTCAAGATTCCCAATGTCTCTAACGATTCTTTTAGCCGCTGTCATCGCCTTGGACGTCCAATAGAAAAGAAGCCAAGACCAGTTCTTGTAAAGTTCCGGGATGTCCGAGTCCGTGATCAAGTTTGGTTCTCAAAAACAAAACTGAAAGACACGGGTATAACTATGTCCGAGTTTTTAACAAAAGATCGTCACAAGATGTTCATGGTGGCCAGGCAGAAGTTTGGCATAAGTAATTGCTGGACTAGGGATGGTTACATTCATATTATCGCTTATGACGGTTCGCGCCATCAAGTTGAATCCCTCGCTGAGCTCGAAGTCGTCCCAGTGGCACCAGCTGCTGCTACCCAAGCACAGAAGGCAGTCGCTGGAAGTAATAGATCTACTGACAAAGTAGTTCAGCGCTCCAGGAGGATAGTGAAGAAGTGATAGTTATGTGGTATAGGACCTTTAGTTCTCTTCAATAAACTGTATGTATTGTCTTTTATCACATTATGATTTCTGTCAATATTTCAGTATGTCTGCATTGTGCTTTTTGCTAACCTTATTTCTTTTTTTACCAGTCTTATGTTAAGTGTTATTTAAGATATGAGTTAATTTTTTCATATATATATAATTAGTCTAGTAGTTTTGTATATACTCGTATATGAGTTAATTAGTCTCTGCATTGTACTTTCGATAACCTAAATTCTTTTATACCAGTCTAATGTTGAGTGTTAAATAAGATGTGAGTTAATTAGTCGTTATGGATTCCTATTATATACGAAGTATTATCTATCTACATCACTTTGAAACTTAGACTTTGTCTATTGTTCTGAATTTGTTGTTCTAAGTTAGGTTATTTTAACAATGTAGGTATTTGATATTGATACTGATAATTAACTGTTATTTTAGGTTTCGACCACAGATTAATAAATTTTTGTTTCTACAATTATGCAAAGAGTATATAATCACTAGGTTATTTACCTTAGAGAAATATCCTCTCATTACAGAGTAGGTATTAAATGCTCTTGGTGTACTAACATGGAGATTTGTTTACTTGTATTTTTTTTATGCAAAGGTATCCATGCTTATGCGGCCTTGTCGGACGTGTACTTTGTTAACATTATTGCAAGCATAAAAGTGGTTTTGACTTAATGTTTAATATATACTCACAAATGACTCCTAACGTACTACTCACAGTACATAATTTTCTATTTAATATCAGTGTCTGTGGTTTCAGTTATTTCTCATAAGCACCTTGTGTTATATATATATATTTTTGTTCAATCAAATATGATCTGAATGGCATATGTGTAGTACCTTTTTTGATTGTTTTTTTTTTTTTTTTAAATATTTGCATTATTTTCTATTCTGTAAATGCTGGTAGGTAGTAAATTTAACTAAAAGGTTTAGTTTATAATTTTTATAGTTATTAGTATTTTTTTTAATAATTTACAGTTGTTTGAATTTTTTTTTTTTTTAATATTTTTGTAAGGATAACATGTCTTTTGGTGAAAGTGATCATATTCAAAGCTCCTCCCCTTTCTTTTCTGCGTCTGATGTATTAAGTAATGACGACAGTTTTGAGAGCATTCCTCCATTAAAACAGACCCTTGACTCCTATTTTTCTCAAGCTATCAAAAACTTCAATGTAGTCCACATAAATGCACAGAGTATTCCGGCTCATTATCCCGATATGTTAGCTAGTTTTGAAAGTGATAATGTTCACGCAATTCTCGTTTCAGAGTCATGGTTAAAGCCATGTCTTCCTTCTATATCCTATTCCATTCCAGGATTCCAGTTAATACGCAACGACCGAACTGCGCGAGGTGGTGGTGGTGTTGCCATTTACATTCGTGCTCATATTCCTTTTTCTATTGTTTGTTTATCATCTCCATCTCAAGCTGAGAACGAAGCAGAATACTTATTTGTTGAAGTACTTCTTTCGCACAACAAATTACTTCTCGGAGTTTTTTATAGTCCCTCTTCCACAGTGGACTATTTTACTACTTTGGATAACCTTCTTGAAGAGTTAACTCCATTATATACACATACAGTGCTAATGGGCGACTTTAATACTTGCCTTCTCAAGAATGATGCCCGATCTCTCCGGCTTAAGTCCCTTATAGAAGCAGCCAATTTAAATATCCTTCCTCTCTCTGAAACTCATTTTTTCCCTAACTGTATCCCATCCCTCCTTGATTTGGTTATCGTTTCTTCTCTTGACCATGTTGATAGTTTTGGTCAATGTGCTGCAAATGCTTTTTCGTATCATGATCTCCTGTTTCTATCTTATAAAATAAGACCACCCAAAGCCAAATCAAGGATACTTCTGCAGCGTAATTTTGAGAAAATGGATTTGGATAAGCTTCAAAAAGACGCTGCTAATATGGACTGGAGCGTTATAATGAAGGCTTGTGATGTTGACGAACAGGTAGCATTGTTTAATTCACTTCTTGTTCAACTTTATGATGCTCATGCTCCTGTCCGCCCAGTGCGAATACGTCATCCTCCAGCTCCGTGGTTGACCGAAGATCTTAAAAGATTAATCTGCAGGAAGAATAGTGCAAAGTCGAGTTACAAGTCAGATCCTAAGAATGACAGGATTCGGGAGAAGTACAGACTCCTACGAAATCAATGCAACAAGATGTGTAGAGATTTACGACGCCGCCACATCCATAAATCAGTACAAAACGAAGATCCATGTCGTATTTGGAACTTCTTAAGGTCTATTGGAGTTGGGAAAACTCGTTCATGTCCTATTCCAAATAACGTGGATTTAAATTTGCTTAATCAGCATTTTTCTTCCGTTTCTTGCCTGAACAATATGGCAAAATCAGCAACACTTACTCAACTTTCATCGTTTCCCACTCCTGACTTTTCTCCATTTGTGTTTAGGCAATTTGCAGATTGTGATGTTAGGAAACACATACTCTCTATCCATTCCGACGCTGTCGGAAGTGACGACGTCAGTCGTAAAATGATCATTCCCCTGTTGGACTTTTTAACACCTATTATAACCCATATCTTAAACTTTTCCATATCCTCATCTTCTTTCCCTTCCCAATGGAAGGACGCTCAAATCATACCTTTACCTAAGAAAACAAATCCTTCAAGTTTTTCTGAATATCGTCCTATTTCAATTCTTCCTTTCCTTTCCAAAGTTTTAGAACGCCTTGTCCAACAACAAATTAATTCCTTTTGTTTAAGAAATAGCATCCTTAGTCCTCTCCAATCTGGCTTTAGATCTGGTCATAGTACGACTACGGCGTTATTAAAAATCACCGACGACATTCGTCACGGTATGGAGAATCATCAAGTCACAGTGTTGGTGTTGCTGGATTTCAGCAATGCCTTCAATACTGTTGATCATGATATCCTGTTAGGGATTCTGCGTTCTCTTAACATATCTCCAACTGCAATTTCCTGGTTTCATAGTTATTTGCACGGGCGCCAGCAACGTATTCGTGTCCAAGATAGACTTTCTTCGTGGCTTGATACCGTAGCTGGCGTTCCACAAGGTGGTGTCTTATCTCCTCTTTTATTCGCAATCTTTATTAATACGATTA